TCCTCCCTGGGGAATGGACAACAGAAAAGTGGGTGAAGGGAGACGTCGGACAGGGCAAGATATGACAAAATAATAATTTATAAATCATCAAGGGTTCATGAGGGAGAGGGGAGCGGGGAGGCAGGGGAAAAAAATGAGGACCTGATGCCGGGGGGTTTAAGTGGAGAGCAAATGTTTTGAGAATGATGAGGGCAATGAATGTATAAATGTGCTTTACACAAGTGATGTATATATGGATTGTGATAAGCGTTGTATGAGCCCCTAATAAAACGATTAAAATTTAAAAAACTTTTTTTTAAGTAGAAAGATTATACCTTGTCAAAGGAGGGAAATCTTCAAGACCCATAAAAACAAAGCCGTCCTACTGAGCTCTGGCTTCCACAGGTCTCACTGCATATATGTTCACATGTACATGCAGATGTACATGGAAAAGTTCACCAAAATAGCTCATTCAAAGGCCTTATGCAGTTTTGTCATGGAGGATGAGGTCGAGTGGATGAGACAAGCTGGACTACTTACTAGTGATCCACATGTCCGAGAACGGAAGAAGCCAGGCCAAGAGGGAGCCCACAGAAAGTTTACGTGGAAGAAGCGCTAAGTGTCATGCTCCCCCACCCCTCCATGGGGACAGGAGAGGAAACACTGCAAAAAGGGCCTGACAAGTGGCAGACGTGTAGCATTGTTTATTGGCCAATGTGAGGGCAACATTTCCAGGCAGTTTTTGTTTTGTCTTTGAGTTGGGAGGTGGCTTATTTTTAAATGCTACTTTGTAAAGTTTACCTTAAAAATTAAAAAAAAAAAAAAAAGCTAATTCAAAGAATAAAACTTTTCCATGAACTTTTTGAAACCTTTTTGTATATAGCAAAAAAACAAAAAACATTATCAGCTTATCTTTTGCAAACAAGAGCTAAAGTCAAACCTAACATTTCTTTTACATTGTAGTGTCTAAGATCATACCGTTTCCATGGCATGCGTACATAAAATACAAGTATTTCAAATAAATCTTGTATCAGGAAACATCAACTTAAAGCAAATGAGGGGGCTTTAAAAAGTTCATGAAAAAAGGAAACTAAAAGATCATGGAACTTCTCCACAACTTTCTGAAGCCCCCTCATACGTTAATTATCCAGTTCATATATACTACACCATATACTGAAAAGTTGCAGAGTCCAAAAGTACGCGTTTTGAGAGTAGTCATTCAAAAGCAAGCGTGTGTTTTTAAAAGAAGAAATCGTACCTTCAACAGAACAGTGATGGGATGGGTGCTGACTGATTTGTCCCCTACTCTTCCCTTTTACTGGAGACAGTCTTGAGTCAAAGTTTGAATTCAATGTTTCTTTGAAATGTTGTCGTTTTGCTTTTACTTTAGTAAAATTTGGTGTTTTATGTATTTCCTCTCTCATCTTAGAAAATGAGCTTAACGCATGTGACTTGGGTAGCGGTGTACTCACTGATTTTTCTCCTACCGGCAAAGAAAACTGAGAATAACCAGGAGATGCAAATTCTGTGCTTTTGGCTGCCACTGGAAAAAGTGCAAATTTTGGACTCTGCTTATCTCCACCTGATGGGATGGGAGTGGTTTCATTTCTAAAACTTTCAGTATGATCTGGTATTAATGCTTGACTTGGAACATAATTTGCATCACTTTTCTCCTTAGTACCTAAAAATCTTCCAGGTCGATCATTTAGAAATTCATTCTTATTTTCATCTGGTAAATGTCCTGGTATCTCATCAGAATCTTGGCTACAAAACCCTAAATCAAACGTAATAGAGAATAAATCCATAGAGCAGTCAAAAACAGACTCCGCATTCTTCTGTTTTGCCTCCTGTATACCTCTTACACCTTCATGATATTTCCAATTACTATTATCACACACAATCTGATCTTGGGACTCAGAATTAGTGTCTGACAAAAGTTCATCAGAAATTAAGAACTGAGATATGAACGCCGTTTCACTTGCATCAGTTTTGTCTGTCGTGCATACAGGTTTGTATCGGCTGTGACAGGGAGAAACGTTCGTGTCGTTAAATTCCGTGTTGACCTCGTCAAACAACAGCAAGCTCTCGTTCTGATCAGCGGACAATACTGGGACATCACTGCTATCATTATCATGATTCTTTTCTTTAACTGAATTCCTTGAAGGGACTATGTTTCTTTCAGCATGATTGTTCGGCACTAAATTTTCATCTTTAACATCTCTATGTACGTCACTGTCATCGTCAGAGCAATTTGACACATTATAAATTTTATCATTACCTATACCATGATGGCAACTTGTTTCAGAAAGGTGAGTCACATTTGAGGCGGGTAAATTTAGTGAATTCAATTCTAAATTCCATTGAGAATTCACGGCTGAAGGTGACATCAAACAGATAGATTTATCATTTTGTAAATGCTCTGTGGAGGGTAGGAAATGCGAATTCTTGAGGAGAGAATCCCTTGAGATTTCATGTTCCAAATTTGAGAGTCCACTGAGAGGTGGAGGAGAATGAGATAAAAACTGCTCTACATTAAATAGCACCTCTTTTGTCAATGAGTGACACGGAGAAAACGGATCATCTGCTCCAGCTAAATAAAGCTCTTCTTCAAATGGGAGAAACAAACCAGACAAAACAGATTTTTCATCGCTGAAACTGTTATACCCCGAATCTGAAAAGTCTCCTGTAAATGAACGAGACTTATTTGCAAACTGACACTCTGTTACGAACGCCCCTGCCTGGTTCACATCGTCGTCACCGGCAGCATTCGCGGAGGCGACTTCAGCATCTGTACTCGGAAACGTTTTATTCCCTGGGAGGTCTACCTGAAAAGTGTCTTCGGCAGTAGAATTTCCTTTGGTAGTCAAAGTAGTAACAAAATCATCATGGTCTTTTTTAAGTTGATCGTTGACCATTTCTTTAAAATCTCTGTTCTTTATAGAAACAATTTTAGTGGGTTTGATATGAGGTTGTTTAGAATTTTGAGCACATCCTTCATCACATTCTGTCACTAAGGACGAACTGCCTTGATTTACAAAAGCCTTTGAAGACTTCTTGTTCTTACAGAAGGTGCCATCAGCAAAAGGATTATATTCAGTCCTGGGGACACTACATGTGGCGCTAACATCTTCCATTTGTAAGTATGATTTCATTTCCAGCTCATAGCTACATTCGCCCTATAAAGAAGAAAACTGTAAGTCATAGAAGAATGAAAACAAAACCAGTTCTATGAGATGTTTGACAGTATGTTAAGATATTTTCTAAGCAATATTAGTTCACCTAAATAACTTTAAACAGTTTTTCATTCGTCTTAATTATTCTGATAATTTAAACAGAAGTATAAATGAGAAAATTGTGAGTTATTTTTTTTCCCTTGACTTAACTAACACAATAAACTGTGTGCAGAAAGAACAAGTTTAATATTGCATACAATAAGAATAAAATTACTGGTTTGTTTGTTTGTTTGTTTGATTTTAACATTTAGTTGAGTAAACGGCTAGTTTCCTGAAAACAGTAACACCATTAGATATTTAAGAAATTAGAATAATGAAAAACATACTTAGAACCGCAAAATCAAACTCAGTGCCATTTATTCAGCTCTGACTTATATATACATATGTCAAATTTACTCTTTTGATGGAAGTAAACTAAAAACAGCTTTTAGAACCTCTCAAACAATGGTACATGTAACTCTCCTAAACTCTAAGTAGCTTGGAACATAGCTCTATTTTTTTAAAATCATACTTCTATTTTTAATAAGGCTCCCAAATGGTGCATCAGGAACTCTTGTAGTAAATTGTTATGTGTTACTTATCTCCAAACTGGCAGGGAAAACCATCCACTATCCTTCTTCCCAAGGCCAATTCCTCAAGATTTCTCCACTGCTCAGTGACTGAAGGAGTAACTCTGCAGCTGGTATATATAGTGATTTAGTGACACAAACAGCCAACTTAAAACACTTCAACCTCTCAGACCAGGAAGAAAGGGGCTGGGACTCTGTGGCCAAGTGTCCTGACTCTGAAGACACTTATTGGTCATTTCTTATAAAGCGAGCCCTGGAGGTGACTCCAACTCATAGTGATCCAATTGTACACAGTCAGGTGTCGAAGGCTATAAATCTTTATGGAAGCAGCTGACGGTCACAGACTGTCCATCTGTTGATTAGCAGCCCAGCCACTGGGCCACCAGTTTCTACGGCTAAAGTTCCAGCCTTCCGAACTCCTCCTCAAGAAGGCAGTACAAGTTCGCTTTCGGCCTCTAGGAATAACTGTAGACCTGGTGTAGGCACGAAGTGTATCTAAGCAGAGAAATTGCCAGAGTCCATATAAACTTAAACGAAGTATATTCCATTGATTTGATTTTGAAAAGCAGTCCAAAACTTAGGGTTTGCCCAACTGCATCCTTCAGATCTCTGTCAAATATTCATTTACGATGCCTTTTCTAGAGAAGACCACAGGAAAACTATGAAGCAATAATTCCCCAAACTAGAGTTTTAATTTCTGACATTAAATTAAGAAAGTCGTGAATAACAAACATACACCATTGAGTCTACCACTTGCATTGCAGTGGTATTTGCACTGGTTTTATGACTAGGATAAAAGCATTAAAGGTTAATGTGAGCCAGGCCCATCTACTAGTATGCAGTGTATACGCTTCTCTCAGTCAGAACGCTTTATCAGCTTGCTGTTCACCAGTGTAGCCTCAAGGACGAGAACAGAGTCTAGCATATTGGAGACCCTCAAAAAATCCGTATGAATGTGAGGGCAAAGGTTTTGCTGGGAGCTACTTTAATTACTTTATTCACATGTATTTTGAACAACAACTACAAACATAAATCAGAGCTATAACTATGTACTGGTTATTGTTCTGTTAATTTTCACAACAGTTCTTTAAAGTTGTGAAATGTGTTATGTAAATTATATATAAATTATAAAACATATTATAATCATCTCCATTTTACATAAAACTGAGGCACAGATCAATTAGTCAACTTACATGCATAATTAAGAGCTAGACTTGGGATTCTAAGCCAAGCATTTTCAGTTTACATTCATAATACATTCACTACTCTCACTCTCAAAGAAAAACGATTAAGAATCAATATTTGCCTAACCTAACACTACGATACAAGACAGATAAATTACGTAATAGATATTACTTCAATAAGTAGCAAGCTAACAAAAATCCTGAATTAGCCTTACAAATCATTTTCATAAATCATTAAGTATATATAAAGGCCAAATTTGCCTGGACTATCAATATTTATTGATGATAATCTTCTTTTAATTAATTAAGCCTAATTTTGGTGTAAGGCAGACAACTACCTCCTTAAAGAGTTTACAAAAAGCTGTTTAGTAAAAGTACTTCCAGCCACAATTATATACAATAACAATTAATGATTTCAAATTAATGAGAATAAAGATTAAGTATTCTAGTTTAATGGTCACACTAGCAAGAGAAAGTACCAATACAATCCTACCTCTTCATGTCTCATCCCTTCTATCATTTGCATAATGCTTATAAAATGATGGCATCGATCTGAATGGTCAACTTGATGGGTAGGAAGAGGATGATCCTGCCACACTCTCCATTCAGAGAGAGAGAGCTGTCGAATTCCAATGGCTGGTTCTTGAGCCTTGATTAATGATTCGAAAAGTAACAATGATAAAAATATACACACACACACTGAGATTTCATAAGTGGATTATTAAGAATTACCAATACAGATAATTAACCTAAACATAAAATAAAAATTTGAATTCATTTAGGTACTTCAAACTAAAATATCCGGAGAAAAAAATAATTTCATAAAATCTAGAAGTGCCCTTTTAAGTATATTCTTAAAATAATTTACATGAGTTACTACTAAAACATATTCCAGCTAATATACTCCATGCTCTAAGATAATTTAAGAAGATAACTGGCTCCAAATCTACTATTTTGCTAGATTTATATTCTACAATCTAAGAGGAAAGCATGCATAACTTCTTAGCAATACTGGTCCCAACTCTTCAAGCCCACTACCATTCCTCATTCTCCGTGTTAGTGAATAAAGTACAAATTCTGATAGCCATATATTTCAAGCCCATAAAACTTTCACAAACAAAAAAATTTGCTGAAATTGTTTTCCCACCAATCTAGGCACACATACAGCTCATGATCAAGTCTCTGGTCTTTCATTAGGTTGCCAATAATCTATTCCTACTAAGCAAGCTAAACAATAATATCTGATTTAGTTTTGGACTCTAAACTCAAAAAGAAAAAGCAGTTACACAAAGATGCTCAAAATAGCCATATTTACATTGGTAAAATAATTGAAGACAATCCAAAAACACAATTAAGTAAGCTAACGAATATTACAGAGTCAAATGACAATACAGTTGATTATGCCAGTACATGGGATATATTACTTACACTGTGAAAAGTATAAAGGAAAAGAACTTATGCAAACATATCACAATCATACAAAAATACATTTATAATAAGTAATATTTGAAAATGTGCATTTTAAGAAAATTCGATTTTACGGATTATTTTCTTAAACTGCTTCATTTCTTAGTTTTTTAAGTTTACATTCTTGTCTAAAAACGTGTACGACTAAAGAATAAACTTCATAAAGAGCATCTGACAACCTGTCCCACTTACTGGGCTGAGTTCCTCGTTTCCTAGAGAAGAAAAATAAGCTTGAGGCAATGTTATCGCCTTAATTTCATCACTGTCTTTTAACCTATAAAGTCTGTTCCATAGTTGAAATTCTTCTTCAGATAAGAACCAATCTTGCTTTGAGTTACTTCGCTTCATTCCTGAGAGTTAAAAAAAGAGTAAAAATTGAAAAGAGTTAAAAAAAAAAAAGTGGGGCAAAACACAAATGGAGCTCAACAGAGCAGCAAGAGGAGCAAAGCAATTAAGTCCCCCAAGGAATCCCCAAAACAGACTGCTGACTTGGAGGGCAGGGCTTGGCACCTCATCAGACTCGATCAGGAAACATTCATAAGGGTCGCAGACAGAGCATAGAATGTCCGGTGGGGATGGATCAAGTACAATGTAGCCGAGAGGAATTACTTAGAGCAGAATGAAGGTAGAATATGATAGTGGGACAGGAGCAAAGTAAAAAGAAAGAAGTAGGAGGCAAAAGACATTTTTAAGAGGTCTAAGTATAGGCATGTATATATAACTATATTAATATACAACAATATGGACATAGGTCTATGTACATATATTTACAAGTATTAAGGTGGCATATGGACATTGGGCCTCTACTCAAGTACTCCCTCAATGCAAGAACACTTTGTTCTAATAACCTGGCATTCTGTGATGTTCATCTTCCTGACACGATCGCCAAAGACAAAATGGGCGCATAAGCAAATGTGGTGAAAAAAGCTGATGGTGCCCGGCTACTACAAGATATAGCTTCTGGGGTCTTAAGGCTTGCAGCTAAACAAGCAGTCATCTAGCAGGAAAGCAAGTAACACCACATGGAAGAAGCACACCAGCCTGTGTGATCAGGTGTCAACAGGATCAGATAACAGGCATCAGAAGACCCGAAACAAACAATCGTATAGATGCCAACAAGGGGGGGTTGAAGTGAGACCAATAGCCATCTGTAGCCAGTGGAACATCCCCTCACAGAAGGGTCACAAGGAAGGGAGAAGTCAGCGAGGGTGCAGTATAGCACCGATGAAACACACAATATTCCTCCTCTAGTTCTGAAATTCTTCCTCCCTTCCACTATCATGACCCCAGTTCTTCTTACAAACCTGGCTAGATTGGAGCATGTACACTGGTACAGATAAGAGCTATCGAGACATTCTCTGGAGAATGTAGAAAGGGAGAACCCCTCCCCCAGGGAACGAACAGCAGAAATGTGGGCGAAGGGAGACAGCAGATGGTGTAAGATATGAAAATAATAATTTATAGTTTATCAAGGATTCATGAGGGAAAGAGGGTGGGGAGGGAGCAAAAAAAAAGAGGAGCTGATACCAAGGGCTCAAGTAGAAAAAAAATTATTTGAAAATGATAATGGCAACATATGTATACAAATGTGCTTGATGCAACTGATGTAGGGATTATTATAAGAGCTATAAGATATGAGCCTCCAGTAAAAATTATTTTAAAAATTTTATTTAAAAATAATTCATCTTGTGCAAAAATAAAAAATAACCCCCAAATATGAAATATATCTATTTAAATGTATAAAAATGATTTTTCACATTAAAAAACCCTGCAAAATGAACACAAAATATATACTTATGAACTCAAACTGTTTACCCCTCTGTGCTAAAACTGATTCTTTTCCTTAAAACTATTATTCTTCATATAAAATTACTCCTGCTTCTCTCACTTCTTTGAAAGTACTAGTGTGCCCCTCTTTCTAAGAGCTAAACTTATTCCTGGGCAATCTTTCAGTTATATCTTCTTTTGTATTTTATTTGGCACACTTAGTTTCCAATTAGGCTGCTAACTACTAGGTTTGTAGTTCTAAGTCACCAGCTCTGAGGTAGAAAGATGAGGCCTTCTATTCCCATAAAGATTTATAAGCCCAAAGAGGCACTGAGTCAGAATTGACTCTAAGATAGTGAGTTTTGGTTTTTGGAAGACCTAGCAGAAGCTGAGTCAACAGCATAATCTACAAGTGAAAACCATCTCCTTGGTTCCATCATAAGATACTGGAAAGTTATCTAAGGCATATGGGGAAAATGCTAAGACCAAAAAGGATTTTTAGCTTGACTTGCACAAATGGCACAGGTAGGAGTGGAGTAGGAATGAGAGTAGGGGGAAGGAATAGGCATACTACTTTAAAAAATAGTATAAAAATAGATATTTTTTTAAACCTTATAGAAAATTAATCCTTTTTGGCTTTCATAATACTCATAAAGGAAAATCATCAAGCTCAAAAGAATAAACAATATAAACCAGGAACTCTGATCTAATACAGGTGTGTAGCAGTTACATAATCTGTCAACTTGCAAAGGAGTGGAATCTAGCCTGTCAATCATGTCATAGTCAGTGAGGCCCCTATGTGGGCATGGCCTTCTGACGATTCTGGGAACTCCTGTCTTAATCCCTGGAGGTGGGACACACACTTTCCCTGTGCAACATTCCTGTTGACAAGCCACCTGGAGCTACGCTGATGGAGCCAGAGCTCTGGAGCTGGAGGAGCCACGTGGACACCCATGCCAGCACTGAGCTGCTTCCACTTCCACTGGATCCACAAGACTTTCCACCCACTGGTCTGTGATCTTTCTGCATTCGGCGCCATTGCATGAGTTGTGTGAGCCTGAAGAGGAATTTTTAAACTGATATCAGACATATGGGTTAATATCGGACTTATGGTCTTGATCTGGACTGGGCTGGGATTTCTCAATATACAATTGCTCTTTTATATAAAGATCTTTCTTATACACATATAAGTGTATGTGAATTTGTTTCTCTAGTCAACCCAGACTAACACAAGGTGAGAGCAAAACAAGGGGAGTGGGGGAATTTCAAAATGACTACTGATTAAGGAACCAGGAGAATTCTGTCTCAGTTATTCCCGAATACCATATATGAAAACTTTAAATAAAAATAGCTTTTTCATGCTTTCTCATCTATTAAATAACGAGCTTGAACTAAATGATTTCTCAAGTGTCCTTTTGCCAAAAGTAAAGAGACTTCCCCACCCCTCCCTTTCTTTAGAGTAAGGAGCCCTGGTGGTATAATCGGTGATGTGTCGGGGCACAGTTTGAATCCAGTCGTTCTCGGGAGAAAGATGACGCTTTCTGTCACTGTAAAGATTTGCCGCCTGGGAAACCCAAAGGGACAGTTCTACTCTGTCCTGTAGAGTCACTGTGAATTGCAATCCACTTGATGGCAGTGGGTTTTTCTTTAAAGTATTTCCAAGGGCACCGAATATTTATAAAATCTTCCTTTAACCTACAATTCTATTCTTCTTCTGGGTAACACAACGTTCATTGCCATCAGTCAATTCTGACTCGTTGTGACTACAAAGCAGAAGAGCACTGCCCTGGGAGTTCAGCAGCTGCGTTATCTTTAAAGCAGCAGAAATCAGCATCTTTCTTTCAAGGAGCAACTGGTGGTTTCAAACTGCTGACCTTGCCGGTAGCAGCTCAATGTGTAACCCACTTCACCAGCAGAGCTCCTCGATATTAGCTCCTTGCTAACACAAATGCTACCTCAATCACTAGGTAAATATAGGGTGAAGTGTCAAAGACTATTTGGGAAATGGTGTTGTCCTCTTATATAAGGATAAGAATAATAGTAATTATTCTTGAGGACATGTATGTAGAAAATTATAACTGCCCGGGGTACAAACAGAATAGAATTTCTTTCTCTTTTGTTAAGAACTTAGTGAATCATCTATACTGTGCATTATAATTGGGTTTAATGTTTATTCGATAATGAAGCTATTTTCTTTCTTTTGTTCATTTTGGGAAGAAGTTTTCTGGATTGGCACAGTATATTTAAATGTTCCCCAACACTGGGTTTCTTTTATTCTCTGTACTGCCAATGTGCCCCTTCCTTTGCACTTCCCAGAGAGACTGCCCGGAGCATCTTAGGATATACACTGAGTTTAAAAAAAAAAAAAAGTTCTACGAAGATATGATTGCCTACTAATAACAGGGTAGCAGTTTGCATCTGACATTTGCATTTCCTGCCCTGTTACTAACAGATCTCTTCAAGTACTACTGTTCTCAAAGCTCATGGTGCCTTGGTTGCGTTCGTCAGGCACTGGGTGGCTAACCACGAGACGGAATTTCAAACCCACAAGCTGCTCGAGGCTCTCTGGTCCTGGAAAGATTTACAGTGTCAGAAACACTACAGAGGACACTGGGAGTCAGAATCGGCTTGTCGGCAGAGGGGTGGGTTTTATACATGAAGAAAGTAAGAGATGACTTACGCTGCATGTTCTGAAAAGGCTTCTCCGGTTCACAGACACTGTGAGTGATGAACATTTTGTGTAGTTCTGGAGTGACTCCTTCAGGAACCATCCGTGGGCTTTCTTGGTAAAAATGAAGGACCTGCCTATTACCTGAAATAGCTCTATAAATACTTCTTTTGTTGGACTGACTTTGATTATAAGTCTGCAAAAACAAATATAAAATGTCAAACTATATTCTTTCTAAGACAATTATTTAACCATAGCAAGCAATTATTAGACTAGTTTGGGTTTCTTCAAAACACAACTTTAAACCCTTTAGTATTTAGAAAATAGAATTTTTGCCATACTGAATCTTAAAACATACCAGTAAGCCCATTTGATGAGCCTTGATGAAAATCATTTTAAAATCCATTAACATAAAAGCCACTTGAGTAATAATATCACACAAAGAATATCAAATTATTTAATAGCATGTTGTTTTTGAATGAGGTTAATAAATACTTTTTAAAAAAGTTAATTTCCCTATTCAGCTTGTTTCTTCATCTCTCGGTACTTCAGAAAATCAGAACTCACCATACAGAGTTGCTGTCAGAATTAAAGACAGTGCACATAAAGCATTTAAAACACTGCTCATTAAAGGTAAGCCACCATCATTATTATTTTACAACTAAGAACAGCAATACCTGAACTGAAAAGTTAAGAGATTTGCTTGAACTAACCCAATTTCCCTGATAACATACATGGTCTTTTACAAGTTGCCAAATAGATCATTTATTTATATCATTTTATGGCTAAACTGAATACACTGTAACTACATCAGAAGTATTAGGAAAAAAATAATTCCTTTTTCAGGATGATTTAAAAAGGTATATTAAAAATGATATCAATATGTTAAAAATATCAGAGCAAAGAAAATCTCCTCATTGTAAAGTTACATATTTAGCAACAGAATTAGTTTTCGGTAACAAACACATAATAATTTTATGTATATCATATTTAGAAGGGTGTTTTATCCTAGATTGTTGAGAAGTATGAATAAAACTCAAGTCTCCTATTATTTAGAATAAGTATCCAGAAACCTTTTCTGGAAAAGGCCGGAAAATATTGTGGACTTTGCACAGTATTCTTAGTGATGTGTATATTCTTTCCTCTTCTTTTTATTTCCCAATCCTTTAAAATGCAAACAACATTCTTAACACACTAGTTTTAAAAGACAACAAACAAAAAACAGGTCTTAGAAGCACAAGAAAATAGTAAAGCATATTAATGTTTGTACTTAGGAGCCTTTGAGTTAAAACCAAAGTACTAACGTGTTTTATTCATATGGATAAGAATTGTGAAACTGAATCAAGTCAAAAATTCCCCTTAATTACAACAAAAGTTAGAATACAATAGAAAATTGAAGGGGGCATGGGTGGGGAAGAAGTTGTAAAATAATCCCTAACAAAGTTTGGACTTTGAATAATAAAAGGTTAACATTCCTCAAACATCAATTATTAAATCATGGTTTCACAAGTCAACTTACTTGTTCTTCTCGTCCTTCAGAGAGAATAACCACAATCCTGCCTTTACGTTTGCGGCCAGTTCTACCCATTCGTTGTATAAGACGAATTGGGCTCTTCTGGGCATCAAAACATACTATAAGATCAACTTCTCCTATATCCAAGCCTTCTTCACCGACACAGGTAGAAACTAAGGTGTTGTAACCACCATCTCGAAACTGCTTCACTACCTAAAATAAAACAAGTAATTTTAAAGTAGCTAGATTCAATTTGAGAATTATAAATCAAAGCATTTTTACCATTCTCTCAAATATGGCAAAATCAGATTAAAAATAATCAAGTATGCCACTGAATAAGAAAAGAGGTCACATAATGTCAATATAACCTACAAACAATTATTTTTTAAAATAGAGTAGTCCTAATTGCTTTAAAAGCTATGGTGCTAAAAGGGCTTGCTATCAATTTGCACACAAATGAGAAAGCTTAAGTGTTTGAGTTTTCTTTTGAGCACCAGCTGAAAGCAGGGGAAAGGACAGATTCATAACCTAGGGTAATGATTTCATATGTCTAACGATTCATATCTTACCTCTTATACAGCCATTCTAGCATTTCTCTCTTTAATGAGACACAATAGCACGAAAATGAGTTAAAGAAAAAGTCAGTGATGCTTCCTCATATACATCAACACTAACCTTGCGAGCTCATAAATGGTTGCGTGCTGGTGGTGCTAGTAACTAAATGAGATAATATCAACAGATGGATGGAGAATTGTAGCAAAATTAAAAGATGGTATTGCAGAAGAATCAGTCAAGCTTTGGATTAATTCCTTTATTCATGGCTTTTAAAATAAAGGAATACCTGGAAAAAATGGCTAAAGTGAAGAAACAGATATCAGGCCTATTACATAAAAAGTAGACTTCGGGAGAAAATGATAAGGGAATATACACAAAAAGGAAATATGAACTCTTACGAAATTACATAAGATAGATATGGACCCATCATGAATGACCATAAGGGCTCTTCAAGATCAAATATTCTATTCCTCTATAAGCATCAAGAATAAAAAAGTATTTAAATAGATGAAGAGATTAAGTAGCTTACAATAACTACTATATGTGAGAACATGCTATGTGCCAGGTAACACATTGAATGTTTAATACATTAGTTACTATTCCCAATGATCACGAGCTAAATATCACCATCCCAATCTATTGGATAAGAAACTCAGCATCTGAAAAGTTAAGGCATAAGCCTAAATTCTAAATAATTATTGCAGGACGTGAATTTAGGTAATATCCCAAAAGTGTATACTATTAATGCTTAAACTACTTCTATTATTAAAAACAACCTTAAAAATAATGAAAAACAAACTTCTCATGTTGTTTTTTATAAGACACTGTAGTAGCGCTGATTTTCCTTTAAAATGAAAATCTTTAGCGTACAAGGAGAATTGATGATTAAGATTAAAAATTAAGACTAATCAATTTCCTTTGGGAATCGGTAATGGAATTAAGCCAAGGAGAGAATGACTTAATATTACCTGTAAGCACCTTAATAAAATTGATGTCCTTTTTGGCCTAGATCAAGAAAAAATTGGGCCACGGTGCTAGAGATGTAAAAAAAATCAAAGTCAAATAATTTCCTTGGTATTTAACATGCATAAACTAAACTGTTACTTGTTTGCCCAAGATTGATATAATCTATCTAATTTCCTTGGTATTTAACATGCATAAACTAAACTGTTACTTGTTTGCCCAAGATTGATATAATCTATCTAATTTCCTTGGTATTTAACATGCATAAACTAAACTGTTACTTGTTTGCCCAAGATTGATATAATCTATCTAGAGTTTGAAAACAAATATCAACCTATCGTGATTTAATCACTAACCCCTTTCTCTGATCCCTAAAAACCAAACTGGCCGCCATGATACATCTTCACTGGAGCAGAATGCCTCATCGCTCAGCCGTGGAAAGACTGGGGGTTTCTGACTGATGACCTTGCAGGTAGAAGTGAACCCATAACCCATTACATTATACCACAAAAGGTCTTTATGTACATGTACAGTCAAGTCTAAATATTCTCTGAGTTCAATTTCTTCATACGAAATTCTTAGTTCTATATTGTCTATAAAGTCATAACAAATTAAATCAACATTTGAGTCTTCCTTATAAAAATGTACAGTATCATGAATATATACATATGAAGCAGATAGTCATTAGCTGTTAAAAATGGCACTAATAAAAATCCTTATTTTCTACCCTACACAGCTGACTTAAATCTACCTTTCCTGCCTTTGGGAAAAAAAGAAAATAAAAAGGCAGAAGCCCCACAGAATTGAAGCTGCATCTTCAATTTTCAATTCCATATGATTATTTGTTAAAAGACTTATTAAAAGGGGGCTTATACCCATGTCCCTAGTAATGCTTTTAATGAATGCCTTTATGAATGTCTATTAAAATAAAACAATAGCTGAACAAAGTGACTAGTATGAAGGTAACCAATGTAGTTAATTTTCTAATTAATTCTTTCTCATAATACCAGATTTTATAATTATTCTGAATGTTTAAGAGAGGGAAACAAGAAAAAGGAACGAAAAGAGAAAACAAAATGTCAATGATTTGAATTAGAATTAAATGAGTTAGAGAGAAAACAAGCTCTATCAATGGATGGATAGATGGACAGACAGACAAACAAAATTGCCTATTCAACATCTCCTTTGAAACTTAAAACATCCAGTATTTAATCAATATTACCTAACCGGTGATAATCCCATGTTTCCAATCTCTATTAAGAGGCATCACTATTATTCTGGTTTGGCAGGTTGAAAATCCTTGATAATTTCTTCCTCACAAATTTGCATGCAATCCATTATCAACCCTGGGGAAACATCTCTTAAGCTCATCCTCTTTTAACCATTTCCACACCACCTAGCAATCTTTAGATCGTTCCTAGATTACTTCCACAGCCTCCGTGTAACAGGTCAGAGACAGGGTCAGGCATTATGAATGGTGAGAGACCTAGAACTCTTGGGGATCCAGGAAGCAGCTTTATCCTCAATACTCAGAGGCCTCAACACCAACTACCTTGAGACCAGCAAGACTGATCTCATGCCCTTTCTTTGTGTCAGTCACTAAATCAGCCCCAAACTCCAGATTATCCCTTGTCTCCCAGACCTAACCAGCTCTATGTATCTCCATTACTGACTTAATTTCCTATCTTCCCTAGAACAAGACTTTCATCTGTTTGCTTTAAGGCAGCAGGTTCTCAACCTGTGGGTCATGACCCCTTTGGGAGTCAAACAACCTTTTAATAGGGGTTGCCTGATTCATAACAATAGCAAAATTACAGTTATGAAGTAGCAACAAAAATAATCTTATGGTTGAGGGATCATCACGATCTGAGGAACTGTATTAAGGGCGGTGGCATTAGGAAGGTTGAGAACCACTGCTCTAAGGGAGACCTCCAGAGGGCACTGTAGCGTTGGCTGCTTTCTCCTTCATAAATCTCACTACTGGGCCTAAGGTAAGGTGGTCCCTCTGCTTTTCCTGCCAATTCCAAACTCTACTTCCTAACTCTTCCCCAACATACTCCCAACTCACCCCTAACATCAGACTGCATCACACTACTCCAAACGGCATCCTCTAACCCAGTGGTTCTCAACCTGTCTAATGCCGTGACCCCTTACGTGTTGTGGTAACCCCTAACCATAAAATTATTTTCCTTGCTACTTCATAACTGTAATTTTGCTACTGTTATGAATTGCAATGTAAATATCTGCTATGTATTCTCATTGTTACAAATTGAACATAATTAAACATAATTAAAGCATAGTAATTAATCACAAAACAATATGTAATTATATATTGTGAAATATGTTATGTGTTTTCCAATGATCTTAGGTGACCCCTGTGAAAAGGTCATTCAATACCCAAAGGGGGTTATATGTGGCTCCCTGTGATCCATTCCCCCTTACTACGTCCCCTTTCCCTCCTGGTATCGCCACTGTCACCCCTGGTCCTGAGAGGTTCTTCTGTCCTAGATTCCCTGCTAGTTTCCAATTCCCATCTGTACCGCTGTGCATCATCTGGTCTAACCAGGTCTGCAAGGCAAAATTGGGGTCCTGGTAGTTGGGGGGAGGAAGCGTTTAAGAACTAGAGGAAGGTTGTGGGTTTCATTATTGCTATACTGTACCCTAAGTGACTCATCTCCCCACTACCCCTCTGCAAGGTATGTCCAGTTGTCTAGAGATGGGTATTGGGTCTCCATCACGCGCCACCCTCATTGACGAGGATATGATTCCCCCTCCCCACCTTTGGTGTTTAAAGCCTGGTCCCTTTGGCAGCAGAGGGGTGGGTGAAGGGAGACGCCAGACAGTGTAATATAAGATACAATAATAATTTATAAATTATTATGGGTGCATGGGGGAAAGGGGAGGAGAAAGGGAAGGGGAGGGGGGGAAAAAAGGAAAATTAGCAGATTCCGGGAACCCAAGAGGCAAGCGAATTTTGGGAATAATGAGGGCAACAAATGTATAGATGTGCTTTACACAATTGATCTACGTATTGTGATGAATTGTATGAGCCCCAATAAATTGATTAAAAAAAAAATACCCAAAGGGGTCACGACCCACAGGTTGAGAACTGCTGTGTCCAACAGGTCACACTCTCGCAATCCTATAATAGTTCAACTCCTAACCTGATCTGAGTCTTTCCAACATTAATTCTGTCAGAATTCTTGATGATCTCAGTGTTCCACAAAAGTAGATCATTCTTCCTGACCATGGAGTCCCTGATCGTTTGCCTACAATAAGGTGGCACTTACTTCCTACACACTCTCAGGATCAGACCCTAGACTTTACCATGAATAATGGCTATCCTTTCAAATGGAGAAAGACGGGGCTTTCTACTCCCATAAAGAGTTAGTCTCAGAAACACAAAGGGACAGTTCTATCCTATCCTATAGGATCACTATGTGTCAGAATCGCCTTGACGGCAGTGAGTTTAATTTGTGGGCTGTTTTCATCCTTTCATAACTCGTTGACTAACCGCAAGGTCAGCAGTTTGAAACTACCAGGTGCTTTGCAAGAGAAAGATGGGCTTTCAACTCCCATAAAGAGTTTCGCTTTCAAACATTGACAGGGGCAGTTCTATGGTCCTCTAAGATCACTGAGTCAGAATTGATTCAGTAGCAATGAGAGAATCTCATCATAATCTCAATTTAGCATTGCAGTCTCCTACATTAACCTCCTCTATTTTTACAGCCCCCTAAGGCAGTGGTTCCCTACAGTTCCTCATGTGGTGGTGACCCCCCAACCATAAAATTAACTTCGTTGCTACTTCATAACTGTCATTTTGCTACTGTTATGAATCGGGTGACCCCAAAGGGGTCGCAACCCACAGGTTGAGAACCCCTGCTCTAGTGTCTCAACTCTGACAATCATTTGACACCATCAGTACATACAATGCATGTACCCTACCATCTTTTCATTTACCCTTTAGCCTTTACCATAGGTTAAATTCTACCCCGTTGCATATAAACTCAATCCCTATCTCCTTTCTTACTTCCTATTCCCCTGGCCAATGTCATCACTGGTTATGTCTAACACTAAGCCGACGGCCAAAAGGCCATTTGCTTACAATATTAGAGCTAAAAGACGAACGCAGATATCACCTGCTTGATCTCATTTTGGAATGCACATGGCAGACAACTCAAATTTTTCATGAGCCTGCACATGTGCACAAATACAAATGCATAAATTTATGGTTTAATGAATAATTTTGAAACTGCAAAACCTATGAATATGAAGGATTGACTACCACTTCCACTGTTTATTTAACATCTCTGTATAAAACAGTGCCACTCAGAATACTCTACTGAGTGGAATCAAATTAACCAGATATAATTCCACTCTAATATCAGCCAAAGGCGAGCTTCCAAAATCTCCCTCACTTCTGACTTGCCGGCTACAAAGTCCTGGCTTCACCTTACTTACTCAATAGTTACAAGCTCAGGAGTCCCTATTCCTGCCTCTCTACTGATCTGCAGACTCATGACTCCCTTGGACTTGATGGATAATTCACAGGAGTGAGTTAAAAAATTCAGAGGAAGAAATATCATTACAGTTTACTTGCAAGAATAAAAGGCACAAATATAGAGACACATGGAACAAGGCCTAAGAGGGTTCCCAACATGAAATTCCATGTCGTCTCAAATATACCATATATACTTGAATATAAACTGAGTTTTACAACACATTTTTATGCAGTTTTTGTGGTAAAATTAGGTGCCTCTGCGGATATTTGGGTTGGCTTATACTCGAGTATAAGCAGTACCTTTATTAAAGGTTCTACACTATGATCTCATTTAATGGTTGCAACAACTCTATAAAATGTCCTTACAGATAAGGAAAACAGACACATACAAAAGAAATTTGAAACAGCAGGGCAAGGATTCGAATGCAACTTTCCAGACTCTTCAGATTAGTCATTAGAATTTAAGTTTCAAAGCCACAAAGATTTTTTCTGGTCGTTAGAAATATACCTATATTTATTTACAGGCATAAGATCTTCCTTTATGAAATAGCTGCAACTAATTGAAGAGGTATATAAGTGTAAAGCTAATATATATATTTTTATTTTCATCATCTCAAAAAATAATTACCTCCAGTTGCTCCTTCTGGGTAAAACCCTTCATGCTTTTTCCTGAGGAATGGCCGACAAAAGTCATCACTCTAATAATTGGCTGATGTTGAAAAAGCATTTCTGCAATTTCTTGAACACTATCTCTAAATGATGAGAAGATCATAACTCGGCTCTCGTCACATTTCTTTTCAGAGGTCTTATGAGCTATATAAGAACAACCACAAAAAACTGCAGTTACAAATATTTGAAAAGAATATAAAGAACTCATACATGAATCAGCAATTCTTTCCCCCCAAATTTATGACATCTTGACCCTTTCCTGCGTTGCCCTCTATTGCCTCTAATAATTTTAATAATCTTGGTTCCTTATCTCTCGACTGTCATAAAATAAAATTCTAACTAAATCAAGTAAGACTTACCTGAACCACTTTTGATCAGTTCATTTCCCTCATACATGAGTCCTGCTGACCCATTTACTTTACAATACAGACAAAAGCCAAGATGGGATGGGAAAGAAGAGCCAATGGAAATGCTAAGTACACTGAGGAAGTGAGAGGAGTGCTGTTACATTGTAAGTTTGCAATAAATGTCATAAATCAACACCAATTTCCTCCATAAACTTGCTCCCAAATAACAAAACGTTTTTTAAACATACTTTAAGAAAGAAAAAACCTATAAAGCTCCCACTAATTTAAAAAGTCTTCCTCTTCCTTTTTGTCCTCTAAACGTACTATCTTAATCCAGGCCGTGGCATTCTGCCATTGAAAACATGATACAGTGAACCCTCGCCACTTGGCGCTTCAACTTCCGCGGCTTCACTCTATCGCGGTTTTTGTGTAACAGCACCCACTGCCTACACCCGCTCCTTCAGAGGAAAAAGACGGCGACCCACCTATAGAGTACATCCCTTAAGTCATTTCATAGGCTATTAATTACAGTATTTGTAAGAACTATGTATAATAATACTGTATGTGAAATATGTAATACTGTAAACTAGATGCTATAATAAATGATAATTGTAACGTCCAAAATGTTTTACTGTATTTTCCCTTTTTTGTTTAATAAATTGGGTAACATGAGTGTAATGGTGACTAAAGGGTGTTTTTTCATGTCCTCTATGCTGTAACTACTAAAATATTTGATTTACAAATAAGGAATCCTACTTCGCGGAATTTCATTTATCACGGTAGGGTCTAGAACCGATTAACCGCGATAAACAAGGGTTCACTGTACTCTCATATTTTCCCAAACTAACTGCAGATTACACTAACTAACTCCAGCCATTACAAAGCCATTCCCAGGACTCTGAACTTGGCAGTGCTGTGGTTGCTCGGTGCTGGTCAATTCCAAGTCTTAGTGACCCTCTGACAAAACAAAATTTCCCCATAAAGCTTCCTAGTTATAACAGTTTTTACTGAAGGAGATCTCCATGGATTTCTCACAGAACTGCTAGGTGGGTTTTCACTACCAATCTTTTGATCAACAGCCACCACCGATAAAGCATTGCACCACAGGGATTTCTTGGGAAGCAACAGAGTACATTATTAATAGCATGACCTCCCAAGATGGGGCATTTACTCTCTGGGTAAGATACAACCAAAGTCTTTGATTTCTTCAGTTTTAGTTTCTTCACATCTAAAAAGGAAATAATACTGCTCAACTAAGAATTCAGTGAGAGAGCAAATAGCACTGTCTTACACATGGTAATTGACTATGACTGCCTTGGTGTGAGATTTTTATGGTTATTTCTTGAGGGTTTTTTGTTTGTTTTTAAGCTTGCTTGAGACAATCTTTTTCATTCTTCTATAGAATTCATATGATCTTAATCATCCTATGATAGGCAGTTAGAAGCCACCACTTGGCCACTCCATAAGAGAAAGCTATAGCACTCTTCTTCCATAAAGATTTTTGCAGCCTTGAAAACCCTATGGGCAGCTCCATTCTACTCTATACTCCTTCCTACTCTGAGTCATAATTGATTCGACGGGAGTGGGAATGGATTTTGATAATCATCATATATGGCATGCTATATATTAACTGATTTAATCTGCATAAAAATTCTGAAGATTACATGACTCAATACATATAAAGTTAATTCATAATACAGAAGTAAAAAAGTAAGACTTGAAGAAACAACCTTCACAAATAAAATAATTCTAGATAAACCTACTCTTCAATGACAACTCCTACCCAAAGCGATCTTCCTTGGAAAGACTCAACCTGAGCTTCATTGCTCTGAAGTGGCATATCAAAGTAATGAATTAGCTTCCATATTGCCAAATTCAACAGATGCTTTTAGTTTATTTCATCATATGTCTCATCAGTGTTCAACAAAATTCAATCTTTCCTAATAAAATAGTCTCTTCCCTTAGCTTGCCTTACGCTTCCCTTGTCTGGCTTCCCTCTGAATCTCCCTTGTGGCTTTTCTCCTCTAACGAAACTCATAGTGTTGGTATTCTTTAGGACTCTGTTCCGGGCCGCACCTGTCTTAGTTATCCCATGCTGCTATACCTACCTGGAAACTATACCCCTAGAGTTTCCCCACCATTTCTGAGACTCCCGAAAATATGTGCCCTTCTTCAGAGATCCAGATTCTCTCTTTCTTCTCTATGAGCTCCTTAATGTTCCCTTTGCTCAGATAATCATCTGCAAATACACAGGGACTTTAAAAAATTCATGGAAAAATTTCATTAACTTTTAATTCCCTCTTCCCATGAACCTTTGAAAGCCTCCCATACACACACATCTATGTATCCCCTTTCTCCTCATGCTCTATACCCAAACCATCACAACAAAGGTTGTTGCTCCAATTTCGAGGTATGAGAGGCCTTTTAAAAGCTCGTCGAAAAATTCTACTTTTAATTATACTTTTCTACAAATTTTTTGAAGCCCCTTATGTCTGGATTCTAACCACTTCTCACCATCACCACTAACTGCCTTTGTGCAAGCCACTATCATTGGCAATCATCCTAGACCTTTATCTGATCAATGTTTACACTCTAAAAAATTACCAGGAGCGATCTTTTAAAAATCTAAGTTTATCTCATTTCAACACACATTCTTAAAACAAAACTCGGAAGTCCTGATCTTGATATACAAGTTCTGTATGAGCTAGCTGCTCCTGACGTCCCTTCCCACATCCCTTTACACCGCACACTCTGATTCACACCCTCTTGTCACAACACCGGCTGTTTCACCAACCCAAACCAAACCACTTCTGACTCGTGGAAATCCCGTGTGTAGTCGAATAAAATTATGCGCTAAAATGTTTTCAGTGGATGATTTTTTTTTTTTAAAGTAGATCACCAAGGAGACTTTAGGTGAATTCTAGGGGCCATTTGCCTTAATGTTATTTGAATGTTACCACCACCCAGGGGCTATTAGGCTGCTTATGGATCTTTAATCACACTACTACTACCTTAGGGCCTTTTAGATCTGTCAAACTCTGCCTTGACTAATTCTTCCTCAGAAACCCACAAATCTTACTCCCTCAATCCCATGGATATCATCTCAAACATCACCTCAGAGAGAGGTTTTCCTAACCACTCTGACACAGTGCACGTCCGTGTGAATAGCCCTCTGCATGATTAATTTTCTGTACCATTTTGGTATATATTTTTCTACTATCTATTTCCATGGACTTATTTTCCTTTTTCATATAAATCCTTATTCTTAACATCCTCACCACTCCCTTTGTCCACACCCTCCCAAAATGCCTCATGGGCTTTTGTAGTTTCATTATCAAGCACAATTAAAAGACCACTTTCCTCATGAAAATTGATAGCACAAACTAACAAATCAGAATTTTTAGCTTTCCTAATACCGTATAAACTCATGTATAAACCAAGTTTTTCAGCACATTTTTAATGCAATTTTTGAGGTAAAATTAGGTGCCTCGGCAGATATTTGGGTCGGCTTATACTCAAGTATATACGGTATATACGGTAACTTTGTCTTGTCTTGAAACTAATAAATATAACTTACCATTCCACGATTTGAAGTGTTCAACTACAACTTCTTCTAATTTTTTTAGCTTTGGATGACTATAGAAAAATTTCTCATTTTTATCTCCTGGGGAAAAAAAAACAAAAACTGATTTTATTTTTCCATATTCAATTACAATAATATTTTAATTTATCTTTTCTGTTCAAAATAGACACATTAAAACTTAGTTAATTGCCTTTTAAAAATATTAAATAATAAACACAATATTGTTACTTTAAAATGATCAGTTTTTTTTATGAAACTTTCACTGACAGAGAATCAGCAACAAAGAAAAAAGGAAAATAAATACACATTATGTTATAAATAAACTTTTGGCTACCCTGCAAATTTCCCCTACCAACTAAACTATTGCCATCTATTATATAGTTTATGAAAAGCTTGGTTTTATATTAGCTCCTTCAATCATAACTTACTGAATAAAATCTTTTAAGTATTTAACCAGTTTCTTTCTCGAAAAAATAATAGGCCTGTGTTATAATAGAGCAAAATTTCAGTATTAATCTTGTTGAAAGGAAACAATATAAAATTTCAAAAGAGAAGCCACCTTCCAGAACAGCAGAAACACTGCCTGCTGACGTGCCGCTGGAATGCGCAAACAAGCTCTCAAGGTGGTGATACAGTTTCATGAAGTCCTCATTTCGGCTAAGTTGGTTTTTTGCCCGAGTCATTCCTTCAGAAATCAAGAAAAGGTTTTACAAATAAGTAAAGTTAACAATTATCATTATCAAACTAATTTATTAAAAAGTTAAATTTTAGCAATAAATGCCCGGTTTTCAAGTTAAACATAAAACCAGCTTTTTGTTGCAGTTTTACACACATAGGTATTAATGAACAGCTTCCTTTTTTCCTGATTGTTTTTTCAGGAACAAAACCACTTACTACATGATTATCCTATTGCTTTCTAAAAGTAAAGAAGCACTTTTCAGTAATCCAAAACATTTTTTTCCCAAAACTGTTTAATACATGTCTTTAACCAAAATGATAGCTGTCTATATTTTTTTAATAATTCCACATACTTTACCTTTAGTTCCATCCATAATTCCACAGAGGAATAAGTATAATGACTTCATTCCCATTTGCTGTAATAATTCATAACCATGATATAAACTAATACAAATGGCAAATTCTCCTTCAATTATGCCTTGCTGTATTCCCTAGAAAAAGAAGCATATGCCAAATTTAACCAGAGAAAGAAACAAAGATATATGCTTCCAGTCCAATTGATCATGCCAATACTAAGTGTAATATTTAGAATATAATTGATATGATCATAATTACTCCTCTAGATATTTAATAATTAATTTTAATGTCATGTAGGCCACAGAGTGCCAATATATTTTTCATATAAAATCTTTCTCTTTATTTTTTAGTTCAATAGGAAACAACTTTTTTTGCTGTGGGATAATACTTTATAACAGTTTTATTGACATAATTAATATACCACAAAATTCCATAGCTTAAACACATTAAAAACTATTTTAAAGAGTTGTGCAATTATCACCACAATTTCAGAACATTTTCTTCATTTTTATACCCATGAGCTCCCCATTTTCTCCTAAACTCCCCTGACATACCCCTAAAAAACTATTATTCTAGTTACTCTTTTTTTTCCTCAACAAAACACTTTAAAATATTTCTTTATATAGGAACAGTTTAAGGATACACTATATTTTAAAAACACATTGTCATTAGTTGATTGCGGCTTATAGTGACCCTAGCCAAGGTTTCTGTGGCTCTATACCTTACCTATAGTTACTCTTTCATTTTACTTACCTATGCTGGAATTCATATTTTAAAAATCATACCAAAAAAAGGAAACAAATTTTAAAGAGAATAATCAATATGGAGAAATATTTGTTTTATATTGTTTCCTTTCATATATAAATTATAGCAGTATAGATTCATTTGTTCTTTCCAAAACATTTAATAAGCAGCTACTATGTCTCAGGTATTGAGTTAGGTGTTTGAAATACAATGGAAAATTAGGCCCTAGGGTGTCTGTGCTCATAAATGTTTCTGGCAATTAAAACAAATATCTAACCAACATTTCACACTAAGTCTACATGCTATAATTATATCTGGCATTGAACACCAGACATTGTTCTAAGCCCATTATTTGTACAAGTTCATTTAATTTTAACAAAATCCCTAGGAAATAGTATTATTTTTATGCACATATGAAAGAGAAAGAGCTGTTTAAAGAAATTGGGTCTACAGCTATTATGCTTTTCTCTTCTACTTTATATACTGGAAAAGTGAAGCACATATTCCTTTATTGGAAGCACAAAACAGGTGTATCTAAATAATAGGATAAACGATGAGCATTAAGAATATATTCATTATTACTTTGATCACATTTTCAATCACATTTAACTTATATATATGAAACGGGGTTCATCGGGAAATAAGACCTGAAAATTTGTCCATAAAGATTACAGCCAAGAAAAGTCTATGGAGTGGCTCTGCCCTGTTACATAGGGTCACTATGACTCAGAATTGACTCGGCGGTTCCCAACGGCAATACCCAGACATTCAATGATAGTCATTTTAAATGTTTCAATGCCCTAAAAGGGTATCCTAAGTACCTGAAAGGGTAGAAAAAGCACAATCCTGCAAAATAGAAACTCTCACCACGATGATTAAGTTCAACAAGTTTGGATTTACAATTTTAAATAGCAATCAGCCTTTAACTCCTAGCAGACACTAAAACAAATGTTAGTAAAAATTTAGTATAAAATATACTGCAATTTCACACCAAACACAAGCTCACTTAGTGGTTCCTCCAAATACTCTAAGGTAAAAGCCCACATTTTTTTATCTAACAATTATAGTCACAACCTAGATTAATGCTCACATCTGACTTCTTCAATCCTTCCATGTGGCCACAATCTAGCTTTTTGCTGAAATCTGCCTTCCTCAATCCTCTACCCTAGTCAAATTGGTTTGCTCAAGGCCTTCTACATGCCTTCGTTTGATTGCTCCCACTGTTGGGTAAATGCTGGACTACTAACCACAAGGTTGACCGTTTAAATCTATCAGCCACTCCAAGGGAGAAAGATGGGCTGTCAGCTTCCATAATTATTTACAGCCAAAGAAACCCTACACAGAAAGTGGCCATGGTGGCATAGTGGGTTATACACTGGGCGGCTGGCTAACCTCCAGGTTAGCCATTCAAAACCACCAAAGGCTGTGTGGGAGGAAAAGGAGGCTTTCTGCTCCCATAGAGATGTGCCAGCTCAGAAACATAGGCAGTGCTACTCTATCCTACAGGGTTGCTATGAGTCAGAAACAACTTGAGGGCAGTCAGTTTTTGTGTTTATGAGTTGAAAATTCAAAGGGTGACTCAGTGTGCTTTGAGCTTCTTTTCTGACTTGGTTCCTAGCCTGGTGGAGATTCCTGTTCACCTAGCTACTTTTAGCCTGTGAAGATTAAGTAAGTCACCCACTGTGGCACTTTCTCTAACCTCTGGAATAGAGAATATGCCTAAAGGTTCTGGCCCAAAAAGTTGGTTCTGTGACTGTGATTTACAGAAAGACTAAAAGACCAATTTGTTACTACAAGTTAAAAGACAAATTCATCTTCATTCAAATAATTAAATGGTATTCTTGATATATTTTGCATGTTTTCTAGTTTATAGAAATATTCAAATTCTTAAAGAGCTAATGTTTAATGCTAAATTCAATATACATAAAACACTAGACAAAACTTTTTAAATTACTTTTTTTTTAATTACTTACATTTCATAGTAAACATTTAATCTACCATAAAAATGTACTTAGAAATACCTACCACAATATCTGGAGATGGGTTTTTCCTAAATTGATCTCTTGCCAGAATTAGCTGGTATTTTGTTAGGTTGGGGATATTTCTTCTCATTAAAACATTCCTCTGAATCAAAGAACCGGCAAATGTTTCCAAAATCTACAAATTTTAAAGCAATTTCAACTTTTTAAAAGAATCAATTCAAATTCAATCATATCCTTACACAGTAAAACAGGAGTTTTCTATTTAAAAGTTTTTCTTAATAATGAATTTTTAATGAAACACAGCAAAGATAAGTTCTTAACATCTATCCCTGGGTAACACCCATATAAAGTTAGCACAAGTTATTCTTAGATCCAACTATAATTTAAGAGAACATTTGTTTACATTTATTTTTATTTTTTAACTCTCCTTCTTGCCCCACACACACTATAAAGCCAGCCCCATGAAAGGAGGACCAGCCTTAGTTTTCTTCACGGTCAGAGACTGGCACATAGGTCCTCGGGGAAACACTGTAGGTGGTTCACGAAATCATCGGCACTGTGTGGTCAAAGTCTGCGGTAAAATGCCATCTCTCTAGGAACTTTTTAAACCACCTCTGTATTTAGTTTTATACTGTGATTCATCCAACAAGTATTTATTAAGTATTTATTAACATGCTACCTATCAAGCATCGTCTCAATGCTGGGGATACTGTGGATCGATGGAGTCTCTGCATTCATATATAAGGATAAATCAAAAAGTACTGCTACAAGGGTCCCAGTTCATGCGAGTACAAGTTTGTGCCAAACAAAGCATGTTTAAGCATGACTGAGATCAGTGGATGACTGCAGAAAACTCTTCCAATAATATATTTGTTTCCAAAAAAAATTAAATCAAAATAGTTATCATATACAGCTATTTTATTTTATACATTAACTATATATAGTGATATAGAGAATAGTTATCTCATTTCATATATTAACTATTTATTATTTATTTATTACAACCCTGAACTGTGATTCAAATGGTCTACCTGGATATATGTATTTTGAATTGCTGAAAGTTCTTCACCAAAGGGAACAACAAGTTTTTCAACTCGTCTTTCATGAGAGTATGGCAAAATATCTGGAGAATCTTCAGAACGAAGCTCTATCTTCCCAATTAGTAGGTTTGTAATCACCTGTTGCACAGCCTGTGCAAAATCAATTAAATATGATTATGATTATTGTTAACCTTTCTAGTTTACGTCATTATCAGAAATGAAATGGTATTAAAACTTTGAAAAAAATTACAAGTTTATATCATTAAAAATCTTACAGAAAAGACAAAAGTATAAAGTCCATCAGAAGTGGCAGAAAATTAAAAACCTACTTGCAGCAAGCTATTCCCTACTCTCAGCAACCTGATGGGACAGAACAGACCTTCCCCCACAGGGTTTCCCTGATGAAATGTTTGTGGACGGAGACTGCCACATCTTTCTCCCTGCTGTGTTTGAACAGCTAACCTCTCAGTAGCAGTCAAGCACTTAATCACGGTGCCACTAAGACTCCTTAGAACCGGCAGAGTAGAGGGAAACGGCTTTTGCTGCCTCTTTCTCCCACTCAGCCCTTCAAGTCAAGTAGCCAAGAAATAAAAAGTATTAGTAAATGTCTAATAAGTTATTCATATGTATTTTGTATTTTCCAATAAATGGTGGTGATAAAGTCTTTTCATCAGCATTTTTTAAGGACTCAGGAAAAACACAAAAGGGCTTTGGATAAGCACACTACATCCCCCAAAGCTGTACAACACAGTCGATGGTAGAGCCTGATTCTCGACAAATACTTTTTTCCCATTAATTTTTCTTGAATAGGATAAGTGCTACATAGTTAAAGAAAACAAATGTACTTTAGAAATATTTTGCAAATTGGCTTGTTAGTGACTGAGAGTATATAAGACTGGTACTGAACCAATTATTCATAAATTAATAGGATAGTTTCAGTTTAAATGAACATCCATGGTGTGCATATAGTTCTGCAGTTAAATGCCATTCAACTAAAGCTTGCACGGGCATGTAAGTGTAAAAGGAGGAAGCAAGCACACAATCTTATCACCCGTTGGTGTAAATAGCTCCCATACTAGATTCTAGTGGCGACAGTATGATGAGCTAACAACATAAACAAAAAGAAAAGGTGATCTCCAAAGTACATAGAAATTAAAGACAGTTTTAATTTGAATCAGAAAAGCCTAATGGGCTTAGTTTCGACAAAAAAAAAAATCCTATCAGAGTAAGTATCATGTCTTACTCACCTGTGTATTCTCAACACCTAGCACACTGCCTAATAAACCTTCAGTGAAGGAGGCCCACATACATTCACATACATTATAAAGACTTCGTAATATTAAGTAAGAATATTACTTTTAACCACTCATTTAGTAACTGTTTTAGTAGCTACCACATATTATGCCTTGAGCTGGTAAAATAGCTATAAGCAAGATAAAAGCGATCCTGTAATCATGTAGCTGCTGTTAAAGCAGAGCACAAAAACAATTTAATAAGCTAAAGAATTACATATTATGATAAATGTTAAAAATAAAATACCTAAATTAAAAACAATTATCTGTGTGTAAATAAGGAGTGAGGGCCAAAGGATCAGAGAAAGAAGAGCGATTCCTGAAAACGTCCACGTCTGTGAACACAATGAACGGACAGCTTCGCCGAGTTGGAAGCGAGCTTGGAGAAAACACCCAGTAGACTCTCTACTCAATACAGGCCACTCCGAACTGGCCCATAAAAGCGTCACCAGGGAGGGCTCACAATTCGCATTTTCACCCTTCTCTGCCAAACGAATTCAGAGGTCTCTAGGTAACTGGTTGATTTCAGGGCAATAAAAGTCAGGCAAGACAAGCATAAAGTATCAAGTCGTGCAGAAAGGAATGAAGCATTACAAGAAAAACGTTAGTGCAAATCTAAAGGACATGGAAGCCATCTTCAAGTGGCTCACGACCACCAAGGCTCGAGCAACCTTAACCACACCTGTCATAGTGGAAGGTTTGTGACAGCCTCTACCAAGCAAATGTGTTGGTGTCATTTTTCCTGCAGCGTGCGCTCACTTTGTGTATTAGACTGTAGCTCATATAGTAAAATAAATAACCATTAGTCTGCACTGATATAAATAATTGAATAAGTAAATCGGGAGGCAACACAGCTCTTCATTATTAAAGAACTCTAATTAATAAATGTAAAAGTAACTACGGCAACAAGAAACAACCATTCTGTAATTGTAAGGAAGAACTTATTCACAATAAAGGGTAAAATAGTAATTTTACAGTGGAAAACACTCTTCAAGTCAAGCTTCCTATCACACAGGTCAGAACTGTGCTGCTATCACAGACCCTGTGGTAATGCTGTGCTGAGACGGGTGGAGCATCACTTCTGGGCACTCTTCACAGCAATGCATGTCACTCCAGTCATGAGAAAACATCTGACAAAACCAAACTGGGGGCTAGTCTACAAAACAAGCGAGCACTACTCTTGTAAAGCATCAAGGCTATGGAAAACAAGACTGAAGAACTGTCACGGATTGGAGACTTAAGTCATGTGAGAAACGTTCACAGTATATCTAGGAAGAAAGGTCTGGCAATCCATCTACTTACTAACTGGTAACTGCATTTCACTTACTACAACAGGCATACCTCAGCTTATGGCACTTTGCAGATTTTTTTTCACAAATTGAAGTTTTGTGACAACCTGTATCAAGCAAATATATTGGTGTCATTTTTCCAGCAACATGTGCTCAACGTTGAGTTTCATTATCACATTTGTGATTCTCCATTTCAAACTTCGTTGTAATACTATAACTTTTAATACACTACGGTATAGTGTAAAGAGAATAGGGCATCAGGATTGGAGGAAGGCTTATTAACAACCTATGATATTTAGATGACACAACCTTGCTTGCTGAAAGTGAGGTGGACTTATGGCACTTGCTGATGAAGATCAATTTTGGCCTTCATTGTGGATTACAACTCAATGTAAAGAAGACCAAAATCCTCACAACTGGACCAATTGGTACTATGATAAATGGAGAAAAGGTTGAAGTTGTCAAGGATTTTGTTTTGCTTGGATCCACACTCAATGCTCATGGAAGCAGCAGTCAAGAATCCCAGAGATTTGTTACATTAGTTAAATCTGTTGCGCAAGACTTCTGTAAAGTATTGAAAAGCAAAGATGTTACTTTGAGGACTAAGGTGCACCTAACTCAAGCCATGTTATTTTTCATGGCCTCATATGCATGTGAAAGCTGGACATTGAATAAGTAAGACTGAAGAAGAATCAATGCATTTTGAATTGTGGAGCTGGGGAAGAATATTGAAAGTCCCATGGGCTGCTAAAAGGACACACTGATCAGCCTGGGAAGAAGTACTGCCAGAGGGATCCTTAGAAGCAAGGATAGCAAGACTTAGTCTTCCATACTTTGCACATGTTGTCAGAAGACACCAGTTCCTGGAGAAGGATATCATGCTTGGTATAGCGACAAAAGGAAGGGTGGATTGACACAGGGGTGGTAACAATGTCCTAGGCATAGGAACAGTTGTGAGAATGGCACAGAAACGTTCAGTGTTTCCTCCTGCTGTGCACAGGGTCACCATGGGTCAGAACTGCCTCAATGGCACCTAACAATAACAACAACAACATGCCACTGACATGTCAAATACCAGCACGATTTACAGATGGTGGAGCATGATTTCAGAGAAGCTTCTACATGAAACCTAGGAAGAAAGGGTTGGCAACCAATCTCCTTCCAAAAGAGCAGTCAATGAAAACTCTAAGACAATAACAATATGATCCAACATCGAGTTGAAGGAAGAATCCCCTAGGTTGAAAGGCACTTAAAACACCCAACGGCTGGACTATGGACCGGAGCATAGCAACAAGGGGAGCTAGTCAAAGACCAAGCACAGTTTCATTCTCTTGTACAGGACTCACAGTCAACTCAGAGACAATGAACAGCAAGTATGTTAAGGTGGATGAAGGCATCCTGAACGCAGCCTTCCACCTGTTCCTATAATCCGCAAATCAACTTGGTGTATAGGATCTGATGTGACAGACAGGCTTCTTAAATAGACTGAAATGGGGGCTGACTTTCATTCTTAGGGCATCTTGATCTAAAGCACATCCTCTAGCAGATAGTGTTATAAGTTAATATTACAGAAAACTGAGTTATGGGTATACTGAGACTTCTCAATCTTTGCCAATTTTCTGCAAGCTTAAAATTAGTTCAAAATGAAACTTAAAAAATTTTAAATATTGTTAAAAAATCCTGTATTTTAAACCAACAGTTTCTATGCTTATGTACAAAAAATTATTTAGACAAATTTATATAACTAAAGGAGAAATGCTAGACTTGTTACAAGAAATAAGTTCTAATGACAAATGTTAAGATGGAAAACTGGCCTGACACTACACAACAGTTCTTATTTTCTAACATTTTAAGACATAGAAGCACAATTCACTTACCTTTACATCACTACCTGGTGTGGCACTGAGAGCCAGGATTCTAAAGTGCTTCGTATATTTGACCAGTTCCCTTACAACCTTAAAAAAAAACAAAAAAAAACCAGTTATTTAATCTCATCTCTCTAATGCAAACAAAACAGTGAGTCTGTTAAACAAGCGTATTAGATGTAATTCATTGCCATTATTCTTTTTTCAGAGTACTGATGTTCTAAGTGGCAGACATATAGCAAGTCAGGTTTTCTGAAGAGCAGATAACTTACATTTATACTTCACACCTGTTTTTAAAACACATTAGGGCTCCACGTATTTATCAATCTACAGTGTAAAGCCCTATTACAGCAGCGGTCCTCAACCTGTGGGTCGTGACGCCTTTGGGGGTCGAAAGACCCTTTCACAGGGGTCACCTAAGACCAACGGAAAACACATTATTTCTGATGGTTTTAGGAACCAAGATACCATTCCTCTGTCTCCAGGCGGTCCGCCCACCTGCAGATACGCCCACATACGAGTATCCGGCGTGAACTGTTGTTACCCATGCTACACACTATGCTTCAAGATATTTCATTTATTTGTAATTAGAAATAAATATTTCACAATATATAATTACATATTGTTTTTGTGATTAATCACTATGCTATGATTATGTTCAATTTGTAACAATGAAAATATAGCCTGCATAGCAGATATTCACATGATTCATAACAGTAGCAAAATTATAGTTATGATGTAGCAATGAAAATAATCTTATGGTTTGGGGTCACCACATGAGGGACTGTATTAAAGGGTCACAGCCTGAGGACGGATGAGTCAAATTTAAACACTCAAGGGCCAAAGGATGAGAAGAGAGAGTCCGCTCTACATTGCATGGGACACAGTCTAACTTCATAGCTCTACCCCTGTGCACACTGAGGAGATCTAGATAAATTATGAAAACATCAAAATTGAAAAAGAAAATTAAATAACAAGATGAAATTAAATTCATAATGAAAAATTCAGATTTAACAAAGATTTTAAAGAAATAAGATTTTGTGTGAAAGGTTCGTAGCCTTTAAGTTTAATCATAAAAGAATAAGGCTAACTTTAGGTAATTTTTAAAATTTGAAATTCCCTTTTATATGCGGAAACATTCTCTCCATGGTATCAAAACATCGTTCCTGGCTATGCAGTTCTCTGCTCGACCCCTGCTCTTTTGATGTCCCTTGCTCGTTGTGGACAACCTGCCAGACGTGCTCCTGGCCTTGCTTCTGGGGGGAAAGGACCTCGAAGAAAGCTGAGGTGCAGGAAGAGCTCTCCACAACCCACAGTCCTGCACCAAGTATGCAAAAACCATTCTAATCTCAACCCAGCTCAGAGGGAGTCAATGACACTTACACCGAATCCTGATCAACAATCAAATGGGTACGCTTTATATCTTTTAAATCTGATCACTTCAACTGGAAAAATGTCAACGCGTGTCGACTGCCTATATTTCCTATTGCCTACATTCAATCTGCTAAGCATAAAATACAAATCCTTCCTGACCTGGTTCTCTCCAGTCACATCCCACCACTTGGCCTTTGAACTTCACATTCTAAAGTACTCAACTCAACTGGTGGCCCTGTTGCATGCCTTAAGTCAATGAACATTTACAACAATATTGGCAGTTAAGTATTAGTTTACCCAGCTGCCAGGATATACAGTAACATTGTATATCTGTATTAGTCTGGGTACTTTAGAGAAACAAATCCACAGAAACTCATGTATAAGAGAGAGTTTTATATAAAGGTTATGTGGGCATCAAGAAAACATCCCAACCCAGTGCTGCCCAAGCCCACAAGTCCAACATTAACCCATCAACCCAACACCAGTCCACAAAGTCCTCCTCCATCTCACAAAACAGATGCAATGATGCCGACTGCAGGAGGAAAGGCGAGTCAGTGAACTTGTAAGCATCTCCATACGGGTCTCCATAAGGCTGCCCCAGCACCCACGGCTGCATCAGGGTAGGTCCACGTGGCTTCTCCTTGGGAATGTCTTGCAGGAAGTCAGCCTTACAAGCTGAAGCAGGGAACTACTCAGGCAGCTGCACCCTGGTGCGACCATCACAAAGCAAGATACCCGAGTACTTGAAAGGCGAGGCTCACCAAGCCATTTATCCCTCAGCCCTTCAATTAATCCCACATGTGTTTATCGGCCAGGTTGGCACAACAAACTAACTCAATATCCAATACCAATTATCTTAGTGCCACCCACACCTTGCTCTAATGATCCACATCTGATCCCACTAATGGTCTGGGAAAACTTTAAATAGATATTGAAGTGTTTTCTAGGACCATCTACTCTAAGGTTTTTTACAATAATAACTTCTATCATAATTATTAGCTAATAATAATTTGCAAAAAAATCTAACTATAGATTTATAGCACAAAATATTTTTTAACAAAATTACCTGACAATAAGCATAGTTTCCAAGGGCTTTGTGAGCTTCATCCACAATTAGGCACTTTATTTCAGCAGCAGGACAAACTCCTCGAGAAAGGTCATTCACCATGACCTGAGGCGTTAGAAAAAGGACTCTTCTGTTGTGCCATATTTCCTTCCTCGCAAAAACTTGTGTCGTTCCTGGTAAATAAAAGAGAGTCTACAATCTGAGACAGTCTACAATCTAAGTCCCACACTGAACTGTAAATAACCTGGCCTATTTTCACAGTGCATTTATGCTTTAGTAATCGGCTTTCAAGATGAGAGCAATTTGACAATTCATCAGAACATTAACGCTCTGATGTGGTACCAACATCAAAGCTGGCTTTGCCTGTGACATAGAGAATGCTTACAAAATAGCACCATATTTTAAGTAAGCTCTTCAACTGGGAAATGCTTGGGAAGAAAGCCAGGAAGTGCCATATTCCCTCACCCATGAGGTACCAGGCACACACACATAAACAATTCAACATGCTCTAGTTCGCAACCTTTGGAGATTCTCTGAAGATTAAATTAAGCAACCCTGTCCAGTAGCACTAGATTTGCTACAAGTAGATGATGTTTTAAAGAACAGAACGTGAAATAACCATATTATGGTCAGAGATTTCTCTAATTCTGCATTAGAGCAGCACTGGGGGTTAAGGATGGGCTGCTAACCACAAGGCCTAAAGTTTGAAACCACCAACCGCTCCCTGGGAGAAAGAAGAGGCGCTATACTCCCATGGTTACAGTGAACCCACAGGGACAGTTCTTCCCTGTGCTTTAGGGTCGCTATGGGTGGGAACGACTTGCTGACAGGGAGTCTGGTTTTCTGTGTATCAGGAGGAGCTCTCGGTGCAGTCTCCCTCGTCCTGTCGGGTCGCTGAGTAGGTATTCCCTTGGCAGTGAGTCTGGTTGTTTGAATATCTATCAGAGAGGGAGTCTTTTTACTCCCTTAAAGAGTTAGTCTCAGAAGCCCACCGGAACAATTCTACTCTGTCCTGTTGGGTCTCCATGAATCGGAATCAATTCGATGACAAAAAGTTTAGTTTGAGAGAGTTTATATCAGAAAGGTACGTCCTGGTGGCGCACAGGTTCAGGATCTCGGTTAAGACCATACCACCAAGCGACTCTGCGGGAGGGCGTTGTGACCTTGGAGACCCTCTGGGGGCAGTTCCACTTGGTCCTATAGGACTGCTATGCGTCCAAATCGATTGGACAGCAATGGACTTTAATCCCATCAGCACGGACGCTTTCCAAAACCCGGAGAACGTAGTTCTCAGCTCCAAGTCAGTACATTGCATCTCAGCTACGTACCGGTCATTTCCGCCATGTGAGACTGCGGGATACCCATCACCCGGTAGCAAGCCTCGATCTGCTGCGCCACCAGGGGTTTCGTGGGAGCCATGAAGACCACCTTGCCTGAAGGGAACCAGCGGTAGAAATTGTACATGACCACGGCAGCAATAAAGGTCTTGCCCAGGCCGGTGGGCAGACAGACGAGCGTGTTGCAGAACAGGGCAGTCCGGGCGATGCGCAGCTGGTAGTCCCGCACTGGACAGTTGTTGGGGTAGATCCACAAAGCGCCGGCTGCCTGGCAAAACCCGCCATGCTCCAGGCCCAGCTGCAGCTCAGCCTCGTTCGCTGCGACCACAAACGCGTCGTCGTCGGGCTCCTGCGGCGTCTCGGCAGCCTCTGCGGGTGCAGCCAGAGGCGACTTGGCGCTGCCAGGTCTCCGAGGCCTCTCAGTGCTAGAGCCGCGACCCGGAGCACCCGCAGATCGGGAGACGCTCGAGCCCCACGCCTGAAAAAGGGTTCTTTGCCGTCCGCTCATTACGCCGGCGACGGCCAAATGCTTGGCTCGGGCGCGAGCCGCTGGAGACTTACCCCCGCCCGCGTCTTAACCGCCATCAGCTTCCTCCCCGCAAAACCGTGGAGCGAGAAGGCGGGACTGTGGCCAGTTCTTCACTTGAAAACACCGCTGCTGCTTTGGCATCGGGCAGATGATTGGCTGCCTCTGCGGAAGGCTCCTGTTTCTTCCAGAGGCGCATGCGCCCCGTTGGAGTCACTCTAAATTTGATCCCCATTTGTAGTATATTTGGAGACCCAGGATTTTAGTTCCGCTCCCTAAAAGCTGACGCCCGATGGGGTAGTGGTTGAGTGTTGGGCTGCGATCCGCTTGGTACGCAGTTCAAAACCAGCAGCCCCTCCGGGGAGTACTCCCTTACACACGTGCAATCTCGGAAACCCTCAGCGGGTCACCAGGAGTCAGTCCTGACTCACTGGCCGTGGGGTTTGAGCTTGAGCTGTGGAGGCTAGAAGCAGCCCTCATGGCTTGGTTGCCCGGTAACTGCTAACGAGAAGGTCAGCAGTTCAAAACCACCAGCAGGTCTTCGGAAGCAAGATGAAACTTTCTGCTCTCATAAAGCTAAAGAAGCAGTTCTCTTGTAAATTTTTTTAATGCATTTCCTCATGGGATTGTTCTGAGCAGCAATAATGACATCCAAATTATCCGCAGCAAGCGGTAGCCTGCGTGCCTTTTAATATATTTGTAATTTAATTTGTTCAAATTCCTGGATTTGCGTTTAGATGAACTCTCCTGTGTGCTCTCTGGGCGTGCAGGTTATAATTTAGCTTCGTTTCTGCGCGCTTTGAAAGAGCTCGTGGTAATAGATGGCTTGAATGTCCTGCTGGACAAAGCCTGGGCCACTACAGGTGCGGATTTTTAAGCTAGAACTAATGGGTATGAATGATGTCGATGTTTTAAAAACAGGTTATAGAGACGGGCTCTTCAAAGACATTGCATTCCGCGGATCATAAGCAGGGCTGCTAAGCGTCGCCTCGCAACGTATCCAATTCGGAGTAGACGACGACCTGTCTTGCCGGGGTTCCCCAGGACGACTCGATGGCAGGTTGTACCCGGACCCAACCAAGAAGCCCTCATAGCACAGCCTTGACGTCACTCAAGACCAGGCCCAATCCCGCCCCTGGGAACGCCGTATCCCCGCCCCCTCAGCCAGCCGGGGTCGACGCCAGCCCCTGCGGCGGAGCGACGGCGATCCCGGCGGCCGGCGGCGCGGCGCGGCGCGGAGGCACGGGCGAAGATGGCGGCTGGCGTTCCTCAGCGGGCCTGGACCGTGGAGCAGCTGCGCAGCGAGCAGCTGCCCAAGAAGGACATCATCAAGTTCCTGCAGGACCACGGCTCGAACTCGGTACCGGAGGCCGGGGGCGGCGGGGCTGGTGTGGCGGCGGGGCACCTCGCGCCCTCCCGGCGGGGCCCGTGCCATCCGCCTTCCTCGGTGCCCTCGGCGGCCCGGACGGCCGCTCGGGCTTGGGGTGTCCCGGGGGCGAGGCCCCCGCCCCGGCGGCCCCACGTGGGCGGGAGCTGCGCGCGGGCTTTGGAACCTCAGGGCCTGCGGGGGGCTGGATGGGGACCCCCGAGGACGAGGCCCTGGCATGAAATTCCCGAGCGTGTAGCTGAGCCCTAGGAAAAGCGGGAGGATGATGAAGATTTTTATATGACTAGTGTGCTCGAAGTGCTTTTCTGTAGTGATTCGATACTGCGTGTGGTTTTTAAAAACCTGTGGGTTGCAGTTTAACTGTTTTATACTATGGACCCTTTTAATAGCCCTTTTACCTTTTACAATTTTATTTGGAGGCATCGACGCACATTTCTTGTGCAGTGGTCTCCCATTTTATGGGCATTCTTACGGCGACCAAAAAATGGATTTGCCGTTCTTTATTTGTGACGCCTAACCTTTTTCAGCCGCCTCCATCTTTACTACACGCCCTGTGGTCACGAGTCCCTTTTTTCCCTTTGGATATTATAAGAGTATTCATAACTCTCTTGGATTTCCGAAAAATTGTGCACTTCTCATGTAGAAGGTTCTTCAGCGTCATCCCCTCTACTCGTGAAAAATAAAAACATCTGGTTTCTCTCATCTTTATTTACCCTTTCTATACTTGCCTATAGAAGAGCTGTTTCTCGGTCCTTGTTTGCAGGGATGGAGGGGGGTTGGCATTGAGAGGGTGGGTGCATTTTTCTCCCACTGGGTAGGTGGATCATGAAGCAGAGATGACGAATTCTGATTTTCAATTCCATGATCCGGAGTAATTTTCCTGGTATTCGCATTTTATTCAGCAAATGTTTATAAAGCTTGTACTATGGCAATAATTATCAGTGTTTGGAGATAGGAATGCTAAAGAAAGGCCATGTCTTAAGGATCTCATCCAGTTCATTGGGTTTACAGAATAGGCCTAACATTTATTAGCATTTAATGCCTTAGAACTACTTGATTATATTCTCATTATAAGTCTTACCAGTGTTCTACTTGGGACAATTTCAACAGATTTGCGTTATCACAATATAACATAAAACCCAATGCTATCAAGTCAATTCCTAGTCCTATTTTGCAAGCCCTGGGTAGGTTTCCAAAACTCATCCTTTAGGGAGCATACAGCTCCTCTTTCTCCTCCATGATGGGCTAGTGGAGAAGCATCCTTAGTGACATAATGGTTAGTATTGGGCTGCTAACCACAAGGTCAGCAGTTTGAAACCGCCAGAGCAGCTCCTCTGGAGAAAGATGGGCCTTTCTGCTCAGTTACAGGCTGGGAAACTCACAGGAGTAGGGAAGTTCTACCATGCCCTAGAGGGTTGCTGTGAGTCAGAATTCACGCCATGGCAGTGTTATTTTTGTTATTTGGTAGGTTTGTGGTTGAGTTTATACCTACAGACCTTGAGGTTAGCAGCCCAATGCATAATTAGATCATCAGTACTTTTTTTTTAATGAAGCGAGGTAGAAATTACAGTTGGGTTTTGTTTTGTTTTTTCCCTTCATTACTTCAATAGTTGTGTTGTTAAGGGCTCTGGAGCCACTTCTGACACTGCCTGGTTCTGTGCCATCTTCAGATCTTACCATGTATCATATTTGATTCCATTATAGCAGCCATCATGTTAAAAGTTTTCCTCTTTTTTGCTGTCTACGAAGCACGATGTCCTTCTATAGAGACTGGTCCCTCCTGATAACCAAAGTATGTGCGACAAAGTCACACGCACCACCATCATTTCTAAGGATCATACTGACTTTACTTCTTCCAAGACATAACTATTTGTTGTTCTACCGTTTCTTCTACAAGTCCAGGGCATATATTCAGTATTCTTTGCCAAACCCAAAATTCAAAAGCATCGATTCTTTGACCTTTCTTTTTCTTTGGCCAGTTTTCATGTGCATTCGAGGCCCTTGAAAATACCATGTTCAGATTAGGTACACTTTACGCCTCAAAGTAACACCGTTTGCTTTTGAACACTTTTTAAAGTGGCCTTTTGCAGATTTGCCCAATGTGATACGTTGTTTGATTTCTTGACTGCTACTTCCATGAACATTGATTGTGGATCCAAGTAACATGAAATCCTTAACAACTTTCATCTTTTCTCATTTTATTATGGTACCAAATGTCTGGTTGGGTTTAATTTTTTTTTTATGTTTAACTATAATACATACTGACAGTTATAATTGTTCAATCTTCCTTAGTAAATGATTCAAATCCTCCTCACTTTAAACAAGATTGTGTTGTCTGCATATTGATGTTTGTCAATGAATTTTTCTCCAATCCTGATGCTGTGTTATTTATATGGTCCAGCTTTTCATTATTGACTTAGCATTGTAGATTAAATAAATATGGTGAAAGGATACCCCCTAACACACCTTTACTGACTTTAAGTTCAAATAGTAGTACTATTTAAAATACAAAACTCAACCAAATCCACTCCATGGTGACCCGATATAGGATTTCTAAGATTAAATCTTTATAGACGCAGACAGCCTCATCTTTCTTTTAGGGTTTGCTCTGCCAGCTTTGTTGTTTGCAGCACAAGGCCGAATCCACAGTGCCACCAGAGCTCCTGTAATGGTGCACATTAAGTGGTCATTTTCTGAGTTTAGACCCTTTTAACCTGAGAAGAAGCCCTGTTAGCATAGTGTTTGGGAGTTGGCCTGCTAACTGGAATATCAACATTTTGAAACCACCAGTCTCCACAGAAGAAAGGTGATGCTTTTCTACTCCCATGCAGAGTTATAGTCTTGGAAGCCCATTGGGGCAGTTCTACTCTGCCCTATAGGGTCGCTATGAATTGGAATTGGCTCAGTGGCAGTGAGCTTTATTTCCTGAGAAATTTTGCCTAACTAGTTTCATTTATAGTTTCTTGCAGAACATAAACTATTAGGAAATATCAAAAATGTGGCTAAAACAGCAAACAAGGATCATCTAGTTACAGCCTATAACCATCTTTTTGAAACTAAGGTGAGTACTGTTAAATTCTATTACCAAAATGTCATTTTAAAAATTTTAGTACCAAAAAGAATTTTTTATTCAAAAGGAAGTTTTAAATGGATGTTTTAGCATTTATATTTCGGGGCATCTTTTAACTAATCTTAAATGGACTAGCTATTAACTGTAGTGAGGGTAATCTGCAACATACATGGCAGAATGTTTTGATATTTTTAAAGGGGCCAGGTTTTTGAAATAATGCCAAAGCTACTTAAATTGAAAGCTGACGTTACCATATTAAGCATTTATACAGTATGTTTACAAATAAGTCCAATCACAATAATGAACTTAAAATATACTTTAGATTCATGCTGAACCTTTACTTTCTTTTTTTAAAGAAAATCCCCTAATGTTTGCTCATTGTGAAATGACCATTTCCACAGAAGATTTACTAAGTTGGGATATACTTGTGTCACCAAATTTTGTCAACTATATTTTTTAGAAATCATTTATTTTCCAATTATAAAAACAGTACATGCTAGATTTTAAGTTGAAAAAAGGTAACATACATAACAAGAATTCTACTTCTGTGTATACTCGAGAATACGCTGAGTTTTTCAGCACATTTTTTAATGCAGTTTTTGTGGTAAAAGTAGGTGCCTCTGGATATTCAGGTCGGCTTATACTCAAGTACATGTGGCTTAGAAATGAACATTTTTGAACATTTTAGAATGACTGCTTTGCATATTTGTTTAAATAATTGAGAGTTTACTCTAGGTAGAACTTTCTATTTTTACTTAACATTGTAAGGGTCCTCCACATTATTAAAAACAGTATTCCACATCATAAATGTGTGAATACTTTGACGGTCCGGATAATAGTGTTGGGAAATAAGGAAAATAAAAGAAAAACAAAAAAATGTGTGTTGAATAACTTCATAAAGAATTTTTTCCCTCAGTTTCAAATTAATTCTTAAACATATATGAGGGAGCATCAGAAAGTTCATTTTTAAATCCCATTATCTTTTAATAGAGTTTTTATCACAAACTTGAGGTCCCCTCATATAAGTGGAATTATTTTTAAATTTTTCTATTGTATGTCAAAGAAATTTAATCCATTTATATATAGTTACAAGTAAATACACAATAATTATGTGTCCTACCATTTGTGGCTAAGCTGGCCTTTCTCAAGGTCATTCGTGTCATTTCAGAATTCCTATTGGGAGGTTTGATAGTGTGAGGGCCTTAATTTATTGATAAAAAGCATTATTAATATAAAATTCTTCCCTTAGACATTTCCTTATGTCTCTTACTTAAGTTTGAAATGTGTTGACTATTCATGGTATACATGTTCCATCAATTGAGAAGTTGAAAACCTAATTGTCCTTCCTAGTCTTCTGCCTGTCTTGAACATGTTAGGTATGTGGATACTTTCCTTACAGCGTTTCAAAGGCACCGAAAGCATAAATAAAGTCTGTGAGCAGGTGAAAAATGTGAAGGTTACTGATGACAAACCCAAAGAAAACAAGTCTGAAGAGACTCTGGAAGAGGTTAGTATATAGTATTTTCTCATGTGTATGTTTTGTTTGTCATGAGTTTTAAAGTCGTATTGGCTTTACATAGCTGATGGTTGGTGAGCTAAGCTAAGCACTAATTTGAATTGTCTTCTCCCTGAGGTGCATTGGAAGGGGGCAAAAAAAAATTGCAGTAACCTATCCTGTGAAACAGCTGTAACTGAATATTGCCTCTCATCCTAGGCCAAGTTCTTGTGAGCGTTCTAAGTTATTTTAAGGTCTTGATTTCACAGTCAAGTTGGACTGAATATAAGAAACTTCCTTTTTGATCATTTGTATATTTTTCTAATGTACACTGTTCCCCTCACAAGAGAAAAAACCCAGACCTGACTGTAGCCTAGTTTGTATATTTTCATACAAAGGTTTTAAAAGATACAACCATTTATGTATGTAATGAGGACAGCCTTAATAAAACTCACTTGACTGTAACCTTGCCACTTATTACATATCTTGCCAGCCAGACTTGCTCATTTCTAGTGGCCTTATCTAATAATTATCTATCTTTACTTTAGAAGGAAATGTAGTTTTTTAATGCAGGGATAGCATTGGGCTGTCTGTGGACAGAATAATTTCAAGTGTAGAATTATTACTGTTGCCACATCAGCCCCCAACTTGTGATGACCCCATGCACAAAAGAACAAAAAACTACCTTTTGATCCCGTGCCATCCCCATTTTAGTTGGGGATAGGACCATTATGTTTCATAGTGTTTTTATTGGCTAATATTTGAGAAAATTTCACTAGGCCTTTCTGATCTGCTTTAGTGTGAAAGCGTTGCTGAAACCTATCCAGTATCAGCAACACTACTAATACATGAGTAATAGTTGCAAATGAGGTACACCTTGCCAGGAATCAACCTCATCTTCCACATGGAAAGCAAGGCTTCTACAGATAAATCAACATTGCCCCCATAAAACCCCAAGCTCGTTGCCATTCAAGTCAATGCCACCTCATAGTGAGGGTTTCCAAGACTAAATCTTCATACAGCCAGATAGCCTCATCTTTCTCCTGCGGAATAGCTGATGGGTTTGAACTGTTGACCTTGCAGTTAGCAGCCCAATGCCTAAACTACAGCACCAGCAGGACCCCATAGATGTATTACATGGTTAAAGCTAATTAATTGGTATGATCTTTTGTCCCTTGACCTCTGGGTGGTTTCTGCTGACCTTTCAGATTTGCCACCAAAGCACCCTGGAAATATTTTATGATTTGATATTTTGTTACAATTTTGGTATCTACCTGCTAATATGCAGTTGAGAGAAATCAAATTATTTAACATCATTAAATACATTTTATTACTAATTATAAATGGCTAATGTTTTTTGAGCTCTCACCATGTGACAGGCTATGTGCTATATACATTAAATGAGGGTGTCAGGGAGAAAGTTAGATGGTTAATGGCTTTTGTAATGCACTAAGATCCCGGAAAACCAAAACCTGTGTAAGGCAGACACCTGACGGAGAATGGAAACTCACCACTAATGGAGAACAGTAAGAAAATTGTAAGACTGCATCATCAGAGGCAGAAAACCTGTGGGACTTAGAAAAATAATGCAGTCCCACCGACTTCTGGTCCTCATGGGTTTCAGTATGCGTTGTATCAAGATGTAAATGCAACCCCAAAAAAAGATGTAGATATGATTTATTTTCATACAGGGAACAGCCTAACTTTAGTTCACATTGCCAATCTATTAGATTCTAAATCCAGGTTCCACTACCTATTTACTTTCTTTTTTAAAAGTCGGGGAAAACTGCCAGGTTGCCTTGATAGTAAATGAACTCGTGGAAGAAGAAGACTGGTATAAAAGCGACATACCCCTGCACGCGAGGCAGTAAAATGGTTAAGAACATGGGATCTGTATCCAGCCATCAGTTTGCACCTTGTCTCCAAGTCTGTGTAGTCACTTGAGTCTTCTAAACAAGTTACTTAACCACACTGTACTTGTTTCCTTATCCATAAAGTAGGGATGAGAATATAGTACCTATATCCCAGGAGGTTGTATTAAAAGTGAATTTGATATATACAATTATGCCTGGCACATAATGGGCACTCAGTAGATGTTAATTATTTTACAATTAACATCAATAGATGCTGGCATTCTCATTATTGTTTGAGGTACAAGATAAAGATAGAAGCCTAGGATCCAGACAAACCCAAGTCTAAGTTCATTCTCTACTACTACTTGTGGCATAAATTCCCTGAACCTCAATCTCTGTCTACAAAATAAAAGTAAGTGATGCCCTGCACTACCTAGTATTTTGGTCAAGTAGAATTATGTATTACCTGTTGTATGCTTTGTTTTGCCACTTAATTTGTAGAGCATACCAAGCAAACATTTACTTATTCATAAAATTTCTTAATATATAACTTTCCAGGAAGTGAAATTATCTGTGTTGTATCACTTATAGATTGTTTTAAAGGGAAGATAACTCTCTGTTAAAATTATACTGGATAGTATGAATTTTTGAGATCACCTCAGTGCATATTTTTTGTTTTACCCATAATTAACTTCCAGATAGAATTACAAGAATTCAAAAGGTTCATTTATTGATTTCCACAGGCAGAAAGAGGGAAGCGGAAGAGAGCCAGACATACAAACTGGTGGGGTGGTTTCTCTCTCTCTTCGGTAAAATTTCTGTGTCCAAAAACTACCCCCCAAAAAAGGGGTGAATTTATTGCTGTTTGTGTGGAAAGAGGACTACATAGAAAATCTGTTCAGGAATAAATTCATTCAGCTTAACCACTCTATCAGTAAATACCAGGTATATTCTAGATTAGGGTTGATATTTAATGACATTCTGTGTTGTGGTGTGGCCACCCTGGTGTCACAGTGAGACTGTTTGCAGATAGCTTAAACACTTTGTACAAGCCTTGGAAAGAGATGACAATCCTGAATTAGGGAAGTAAATGGGAATAAAAATCTGCATGGCATAACCAATAAGAAATAGATGAAGAATAAGGAAAACATCCTATCTCTTGCTTTCCAAAGTCAGGAACCAAATAGATTTGGATCCTTAACTAGCCATTCACACCCTTGTTACTTGTTTTCTGACACTTAGGGCCTCAATACAAATTTACTCAGGAAACAAGTAGATTTATTTAGGTAAGGAGAATTATTTTACCTTTGCTCAAATTCTTTTTATAAATCATTTTATTGGGGGCTCTTATCACAATCTGTACATACATCCATTGTGTCGAGTACATTGGTTGCAATCGTTTTCAAAACATTTTTTTTCTACTGGAGCCCGTGTATCGACTCATTTTTACCCCTGTCCCGCTCCCAAATTATTCTTTTTCTTCAGTCTCCAAGATTCTTAGTGGATTCTTTTTCTGTTAGCACACTTTTAATCATTTATATGAATTAACATTGATAAGGTGCCCCCCCACCCCCCCCTTTGTTTTTTTGTTAGGTCCTGATAATCCTGCATTTTTACCTAAAAAATAGACCTTTTATGATAACTTCTGTACATAACTTTAAACTCATTATGTGAACTTATTTCCATGTTCAGAGAGGGAGGTAATTTTATCATAGTACTCATTCTAATTGAATATAATAAGAGTATCAAGTAATACCAGTTTTGGGTGCTAAAACTAAAATCATTTGAAAAAGTCCCAGTCATATATATTCCGATTCCCAGGAAAGCTGGGAAGTATTTTAAAATTGAATTTTCACCACCGATGTGCAATAATAAATTTAACATAGAGATGTGAACTAGATTAGACCTTTGTGATCTGAGTTGGGTTCTCAAGGTATTCTCTCATCACTCTAAAGCTAAAATTTTGGCATTACTAACTCTATGGGCTGTTTTTGGTTTGTTTGTAGGGTCCACCAAAATATACAAAATCTGTTCTTAAAAAGGGAGACAAAACCAACTTTCCCAAGAAGGGTGATGTTGTTCATTGTTGGTATACAGGAACACTACAGGATGGGACTGTTTTTGATACTAATATCCAAACAAGTAAGTCTGCGTATAAATAATCTTTTTCTTTTTAACTCAGTGACAGTTCAGACTATTTCTGTGAAGACAGACAAGTGGTTGGCTAGTACCTTTATCTTGGTTGTCACGCTACTTGTTTCCTAGAACTGTTTTTATACTTATAAAATAGGCTTTCAATTCATTGCATGTTGACTGGGTAAATAAAAATCTCAAGGTCACTGGAAAGCAAACAAATAGAAAAACCTAGTCTAAGCTTCCAAAAGTGAGGCATTGGTATTTTCACATAAAGGGCAGAATTGTGTGCTATATTTAGTGGTATAAGTAAGATCTGTCATTAAAAGTAAGGAAAATGTTTTGCAGGTGCCAAGAAGAAGAAAAATGCCAAGCCTTTAAGTTTTAAGGTTGGAGTTGGCAAAGTTATCAGAGGAGTAAGTACAAAAATGGCAGTCATGCATGTTATAATATGGTGCTCTGAAGAAGTAAGATTGAGAATATACTTAAAACACGTGTTTGGGCTATAAAAAAAATCAAGTGATTTTATAGCTGTATGATCTGATGCAGGTTCATTTCTCTGGGTCTCATTTTCCCAATCTATAAACAGCAGTACTTGTCAACTTTGGGATTGTTAAAAGAATATATAAGCATAATTAAAAGGTACTCTGGTAGTGCAATGGTTAAGTGTTCAGCCAATAATCTAAAGGTTGCCATTTTGAACCCACCAACTGTTCCACAAGAGAAAGCTATGGCACTGTTTCCATAAAAATTTATAATACCACGAGACCACCCCCCCACCCCCGGGCAGTTCTGTGTCCTCAAGGGTCCCTTAGTCAGAATCTCCTCAACAAGAAGGGGTTTGGTTCAATCTATGGTTAGGTCCTGCCAGGTCGGTACTGAGTCATAGTTACTGTACAAGAAGGAAACACTGCCTGGTCGTGTGCCATCCTCACAGACGAATGCTTGAGCTCATAGTTGCAGCCACTGTGTCAGTGTAGTTGGGATAAAAACCAGTTCCTTCCATATCTAACCCTTTATTACATTGTGTTCATAAAGTAACTCTTTAAGATATTTGCCATACTAATTTTGCTTTTAAGATTCTTATTAAATGTTAAGTCACTGCTATTTGTAAACATACCAGAAACTCACTGCCACAGAGTTAATGCTGACTCACAGTGATGACCGCCTGTGAGTCTCTGAAGGAGTAGAAAGCCCAGTCTTCCTCCCTTGGAGCTGCTGGGGGCTTCACACTGCCAACACGTGTGTCACAGCCCCTGGACTATACGACCAGATTCTATGCTATTTGTAAATTGTAAACAGGGAAAGGTAAGAAATCTGCTTCACTGAAATACTAACAGGTACAAGCTTGTTTTGTGGTCTTCTCGCCTCACATGGTCTAGCCTCAAACACTGGAAAATGCTCAAGTAAAAGCATGCTATTCCTCTTTTTACATGAGACAGCAAAGGAAACAAAGAAATTAAACTTCAGCTATACTGTCCATTACTGTACAAGTTAACAAGGCTGATGGTCAGTTTGCCTAAATCAAATTTAATACTGCAGTTCATGATTTTTTAATTGTAATTACTTTGATCAAGCATGAACAAACGAAACATATTTAAGTGGATGTTTAAGAACCTTCAGCACGTTATTCTGTCTTTAAATTATTCCAACAATCATAATCCAGAGCCCAAGATAGAAATAAAACATCTTGAAACTAATGATTTAGCTGAGTGTCTGTGGTCTTAAAAGCTTGCTTCCAAACAAGCAGCCATCTGTATGAGATGTCAACTAAGCCCACATGGAAGAATCACACCAACATCCATGACCCAAGAATTACAGATGATATATAATCCCAAACTGGGGTAGGGCATAGAATCATTAATTGTGAGATTCTGGTTTGTAGAAGGCTATGTATGGATAACAATGGAAGCCCAAGATACATTTGCAAGAGCTACACAGGAAATAAGCCTCTGGTGATTTCCCTCTAACCATAATTGAGGGATAGTTAGTAAACAGGGCTACCAAACAGGGTGTATTGGAGAGGTGACTTTAGATCAAATTGATAAATCTGGCTTGAAAGGCTAAAGCCCTGTCACATGATCCCCCTCTCCAATACACTTTAGGCCTGATCTGGTTTTCAATATTTTCTTCATCATATTGGGGTTTATATCTGGTGAATTTCATCATTGTAGGTCGTCTTGAACCTTGGCTATGTGTTTTTGTTTTTCTTTACACGAAACGCAGGATTAATGAACCTATGGAAGACAACTAGAATAAGGGTTCCTCGGGGTATGATGTGGGAGGTGAGGGGTAGAGGGCAGCTGATATCAAGGAGTTCGATAGAAATTTTTTGAAATTGATTGTGGTAGCTGAGAATAAACTGCTAACTCTTATATTGTTATTAATCATTGGGGGCTAATACAACTCTTATAACAATCCATAACATACATCCTTTGTGTCGAGCACAATTGTACATTTGTTGCCATCATTCAGTTTGCTTTCTACTTGGGACCATGGTATCAGCTCATTTTTTTTTCCCTCCCTCCCCACTTCCCCCTCCCTCATGAACCCTTGTTAACTTATAAATTATTATTTTGTCATATCTTACACTGTCCGACGTCTCCCTTCACCCATTTTTTTGTTGTCCATCCCCCTATATTCTATAATCGCTTCCACCTTTCCACCCCACCTTCCCTCCACCCTCCCGGGACATTGATATATCTTAATGTTACTTTTCTGTAATGTTATATATTCTGTAATATTTCTGTAATTAATTTTATAACAGATCTACCCTGCATGATGCTCTAACTACACCCTGATCTTTATGTGATTTCTGTTAAATATTAGTAATACATTCTATATCCTTGCATCATATTAACTGTTTTTAATAACTGACTTTAAGATCCTAATTTGCAAACTCAAGAATTTACATCATTTCATATTAAATACCAATCATGATCCTACTATTATAAGCTTGATAATCTTATGTCAATTTCATTTGCTTAAAAGTTTTTATTATCTAACAGTGTAGTGGGTGTATTATGGTTCTAATGACAAACATAGAACAGATGTTACTATTTATAAGTGTTGCATAATCTTGACTATTTTGGAGTATTGCGTATGTTCCCTCTGCCCTCCAAATCTTCCCCACCCCCCAAAAATCCTTTTAATTTGATGTTCTTGCCTTTAGTGGGATGAAGCACTTTTGACTATGAGTAAGGGAGAAAAGGCTCGACTAGAGATTGAACCAGAATGGGCTTATGGAAAGAAAGGACAGCCTGATGCCAAGTATCCTTTGTCCTTCATAGTTGAAAAATTGGTAACCGCGATTAGCTGAAAGTATGAAAGATGTTGTTTAGCCTAACCTCTAGATCAGTAATGCTGTCCTAATTAATTTTCCTGACATTTAGGTGTTTTTGTGTCAACACCTCCAGTATAATCCTTTTTAGTGGTACAACGTATTCAAACTTGAACTATCCTTTTAATCAATATCTTTCCATCTTCAAAACCTAAAATGACATTTTAAGCCTTCATCTTTGAAAGGCACAACTTAGTATTTGACCAGTTTACTTCAGTAAGAAGCCTAGTGTTAATGGTAGCAGGTCTGGGATGGAAAAAATGGCTTATGGTAATTTTAGTCAAGTGACTGCCTAATTAAAGCTTAGAAAAGGAACACCAAGTGGAGTTAACCAGTTGTGAAACAAGTAACCCATGGCCAACCTGAGGAGTTGCTGTCCCATCAGTTCTAACTTAAGGTGGCCCCATGTGTTAGAGTAGAGTTTGTTTTCTTGCCTGTAAAGCAGATCACCTATACTTTTCATCTTGATAGATTCAAACTGCCAACCTTAAGTTAGTTGAATGCAAGGCTTTTGCACCACCCAGTGACCGAAAACCAACATATTAAGAAGCATTTCGAATTATAATGATGCTGCTTCTGTGTTTTTACTTAACAAGCATTTCTGTGACTTTGTGGCAATACTTTTTCACTTAGATTTATAAACCAGTAAGCACCTTTTCTATTTCTGCATTGAGATTTCAAGATTAATTCATATTATCAACAATAAGACCAAGATAAGTGTAATAGGCCATATGGAAAAACAGTTTACCACTGTTGATTTCATTTCCTTTGGACTACTTAAATCAAAACACTTTTTCTGGTTGTTTTGTAGGCTCTCCAGTCTCATGTTCTATTCCATGGGAATATAATTAAGCCTGTGTTCTGTTTAAATCAAGGTAGCCAATTGTAGATCCTCTTTCATGAAGTAAGTCAATGTACATTAAGTCTCAGCCTTCTCTGAAGCATCTTAACATCTGCAGAAACTATATGTACTTCCTTGCATGGGTTTAGAGGAGCCTTGGTGGCATAGTGCCTAACTGTTGGACTGCTGCAAGGCCAGCAGTTCAAACGACAGCCACTCTTGGAGAGGAAGACACAAGTTTTCTACTCCTGTGAATAGTTCAGGGCACTTACGTAGGGTTGCTATGGGTTAGAATGGACTCAATAACAGTGAGTTGTATAAATTTTTGTTTAATGGAGCATGTGTACACATTCAAGTACTATACTTATTTTTAAATTTTGATTTGGCGTTTTTTGTTTTCATTATCTTGGGAGTATTATTAGTGAGGCTTCCAATTAAGGAAGATTTTCTGAGTCTTAAGTTCACTTTAGCCTACAATTGTTAGAAGCTCACAGAAATGCAGATAAAAATCATCCAGGATTAGTTAACTTTGACTAAGAATAGCATGTGGGGAGACATATGTGTTTTGCTTTTATCTAATTTACCTTGACATCTTCAACAGAATTCCACCAAATGCAAAACTTATTTTTGAAGTAGAATTAGTGGATATTGATTGAATTGGCAGCACTTCAAGTCTAAGGACAACAGCAACAATATTACCTGCCCTTGACAAATCTTAATGTAACTAGAGCTGATGACCATTATGTTTAAGGGAGGAGTCAACTGGTAAGAAGTTAAAAACCTGTCTACTTGATCCCTGACTTTTGAGAAATGTAATCCCGTATCCTTGAAATCTAAAGTATTTTACTACAACTCTGTAAACTATTGGTTAAAGAGAATTCATTTCCCTTTTACCTTTGTGTTGTAAACTACAAGGCTCAATACAAACGTATCCACTATTTTGATCTGACTGTGATTTGTTCAGTGTTAAAATATTAACTCTTCTGATTAGGCCAATGAAGCCTAGGAACCATACATATATATGAGAGTCACTTGTAAAAATATTCTCTGAATGGGTATTTACCATGTGGGTACACTTTGAATCTTTAAAATGTGCATTTATGAAGTGAGAAGACAAAAGCAGATAGAGCTTTAGAAAAAAGAGAAAGATTTGGCATTAATAGCCTGAATTTCAGAAAAATGCACTTCAAAATAATATGTGGCTCCACCCCCCCAAAAAAAGAATCTTAAACAATTACTGGTAAGTCTTCAGTTTTATTATAAAAATGGTGATGATCAGTTTGATCAAAATGAAAGCTTGCTCACAAGTTTACACAAATATTCTAAATACAAAGTCTCCTGAAACAGCAATATATTTTCAATAATATTTTCGTTTTATAAGGGATGCAAACATTCTATTTTCTCATTTATAATTTATATTCCAAGGCATAGTTTTTAATAGTGTACCTTTTCTGCAGTTAGATCCAAATTCAATGCAAGTATAACAAACACAGACAAACCAATTGACAGCAAAGACTAAGATTCCGTTTTTCTGATTTTGTTGTTTTTAGAGGAGGTAAATCCTTAAAAGCAGCCCTTATGTTTTCAGAATCTTGCTATACTGACATGATTTGCAAGTCAGTTTTATTTTCCTACCTTTAAGGCTAAAAAACTCCATTTCAAATGCATTCAAAATTATTCTAGACGCTTAATGCAAAAATTAAAAATAGTTCTCCGATAAAAAGTAAAATTTTATAAATGGTAGGAAACGGTACGTGTGGTAAGCTACTAATGACATTTTCCCTATTACTAAACAAATCATTACAAAGAAACAGAGAAGACAAGTTGTCAGGTATGGCAAGCTATGTTTACATCCCTCACAAAAAGAAAAATAACAATTTTTGTACTTTTCACACACTCCCTCTGAAATGTGCATCTTCCCATCAGGTAGGAGGAGGAGGATAATACTGTCCATAATTCCAAGGAGTCTGATAATTGTACTAAAAGGAAAAAAGGAACAAGTTAATATACTAGAAAGATGGCTGTTTCATATATTTAATTAAGGCAAATATGTTCAATAAAAAGTGTATGTTTACTGTTAAAATTTTAAAAGACTGAATCAAAGACAATAAGCATTAGTAGTGTACCATTGATTTATGCTTCTAATATCTATAAACAAAGCATTTCAATTATATTTATGTGGACTCACTTGATACCAGGCACTGTAATTATATGCAGCTTGATTTGCCTGTAAATCACCATCAATCATCTGTGTAGATGATGAAGTTGTATCTTCTGTGTGCGCTTTCTTTTCCTCCGGTTCTTCAGATCTATAAATAAAATACCAAAATGGAAACTTTCAAAGCTTCCTCAAAGATGTATTTTAACGAATTAATGTCATTTACGTATGTTTGTTTCACAAAAGTTCTTAAAATCAGTTTAATATGAAGATCAGTATCATTCAAATAGTTTTATACTTTAAAGGTGACATTTAAAATATGTCTTTAAAGACATTTCCTTAATATGTTAAGCATCCTTGATTTCAGCAAGTTACATACCCATTTTCTGCCTTCCTTTTTAAAGAATCCTGTTCCTTTAAGAGTGTTTGATGCTCATCATAAGCAATCAGAAGCCTGAAAAGAAAACAAGCCTCTGAAATACACATAAGCCAAACTTATTTCCACCTAGGCTAGCAGAATACATGCTGCAATGACATCTACAAGATTTTTAGGAGTTGTGTACAAGCTTACCCAACTATCTTTCCAATTTTATTTTCTTCAGAAAGCCACATGAGTAAGGGCACCATTGTCAGCAAGTTGATTTCAACTCACATCAAAGCTTTATATGGTTTCTGAAGCTGTAAATCTAATGGAAGCAGAAAGCTTCATCTTTTCTCCCAGAATAGTTGATGAGTTTGAAGTACTAACCTTGCGGTTAGCAGTTCAAAGGTTACCCAAAAGTGCCACTTGAGGTCCTGTAGGAAACCACATACTTCCCAACCCTTTCAGCTTTCCATTCTGTGTTTAAATTGGGGCTCCAGAGATACAGGCCTGAACAATTGCTACACCCCTTGACAGTGATTAATCAGTTCAGAAGTGAACACATACCCCAGAACCCAAGTCAAATATATCTGTATACATATGCACACACTTGTAGACAAGGGAATACCAAAAAAACGGGACAACTCAACTGGGCAGAGCTCTTAGTACACATTTTTCCCACTAGGAGGAACAAGCACCTCACACCCAGTTTGTGCAACCAGTGTGTCGCCTGGGTGGGAAGGTTCTCCGGTCACTGAATTTTTCCATAAAAGCAATTTTGCTCTAACCTTGTGTTTTGGTGATGGCTGATTTACAGAGAACATGCAGCTGTGACATTTTGTTTCCTGCTTGAAAAGAAATGCGGCAAAAAAATGTTCCAACATGTAAAGTGCTATGGGGGAAAACTCAAGTGTACAAGTGGTTTTCTCGTTTCCAAAGAGGTGAAAAAAAACGAGTGAGGTGCTACCAGCTATCCAAACAGATGAGTTTGAAAGATGTTTCCAAAAATAGAATCGCAGATTTGACAGATGTATTAACTATAATGGAGAGTACTTTTATGGTGATAAAAGTTTTGTACCAAAAAATTTAAATACATAATGTGGGTGGGGTACCCCCTCGCATAGTGTTAGCTGCTTCAATGGAACCATTCTAAATTAGAGGCACTGGATATTTGCTTACAAAATCAGGTTAAGGCCAAGTTGCAGTGATACTTTTCCACTTTCTTGTTCTGATAAATTAAGTCTTTTAACTTTTCAAATTTTGTTATATCCCCACATACATCTAAAGAAAAACTACAACCTATGAAAACATTTCATGTTTAAAATGCATTAATTGCTATGTCATCAAATTTTCATCAAAAATATTTACCAAAGAGATATAATTAAGATCTTACTTATTAACATCTGAGCCAAAGTCTTCCAGAAATTCCACTTTCCTTTGAGAAAAGGTAATTCTCATTTTAATAGGCAAGGAACCATGTACAGCTTTATCAAAACAATTTAAGATATTTTCTTCATTTTGTTTGAGGTCACCACTATATTCCATTTCAAGTAAATTGAGGTATAATTTTGTGTTCTCCTGTATAAAAAAGGTAAATATTTGGAAAGTAATTTTGATTAAAAGTTACTTAAAATACCTTAATTCTTTATATCTCATTTTTAAAGATTCAATACTGGTTAACTCCTACTAGTATTATCAATAAATACCTAAAGGAGTTAAAAAATAATCACACACATTGATGGATTATGACATGTCCAAGGATCTCCAGCCTATGCAAATTATAACTGTCAATATATTTTAAACATATCCTAACTTGGGCTTAATTATTACTTGGCACACTGTCAACTACAAAATAAACATTTTAAAGTGTTCTGTACAGCTGCTAATTTCAACTTTTTGTTGTAGATACACATGTTAAAATGCAGCAGGAAGCAAACTAATTGTTATTCAACTTGTGCCTAAATAAACCACAATAACTGGAAATCAAAGAAATGAGAAACTTTGATACTATCTCTCATCAAACTGGTACATAAAACAAAATCCTTTGGAAAAAATACTCGTTATATAACACTTGCTGCACTGTTGACAACTACCATGTTTTTAATTATATAGAGTGGACATTATATTCCAAGTTTCTGCAATCATATTTGTTGTAAAATTTCTAAAGTGGAAAAAAACACAATACGACAATCTCAACAATTCGCATCTGATGAAAATCTTTAATTTTCTCCAACTGTTTAAATTCAGACTAATCTGAAAAAAAGCACGGCAACATCAGTTTAGAGGGACTGTCGTCTTCATTTAGTAATATATTACATACGACCAAACTTGTCATCATAGTTGCCAAAAGTAAAATTTCACCATACGTTTTTATGTGAAATATTCTTAAAATGATAGATACATACTTTGTCCTTTTCAATTGCTTCCAAAAGCACTTTTCTTGATTTTGGAAAGTTTTTCTGTATTTTAAAAAGATGACGGGCCAGTTTGATAGCATAAAATGATGATTCGTTGTTTGATTTCGCATTCTTAATGGCATCTTGAAGCAAATGTTCAGCTTCTTCCATATTTCCATGCCGCCGTTCTAAACTTACTCTTCTTAAACGAACCATTGCCAATCCTAGAACACACTCTTCAAATGTTCTCAAGATATTCCTGGCTTCATTAATATTACCTAAAATAGTAATTAAATAAAAATTATTTAATAAAAAGGTATGCTTCATTAATTAAATTTTTGAAGATTCTTTATGTTAACCCACTGTCATGTCAATTCCAACAGCAAACCCTATAGGACAGATGCTCATTTGGTTTTTGAGATTGTAAACCTTTAGATAATATCCTGTGAGACAAGACAAAAAACATGGGAGGGGATAGAACAAGCTATTGAGAGGTTTGAGAAGTTGTTTTAAGTTGTTGAATACAAAAATGGCCTAATTCACAAAAAGTTCAAAGAAAAAAGCAACACACAAAAAAAACAGAATTGCTTCATTCTTACCCTGCTGCTCTTCAAAGGCCGCCCAAAGCATATGCACCATGGGTTTCTTTGGGAGATGAATAGTGCAAGCTCTGCTGAAGACATGCCTCACTCCTTCAGTACTGTGGTTTTCCATATATTTTGCATACTATGTACAGAAACAGAGGAAATACTGAATAATGTACAGTTGAGCAAGACATTAAATATGTGACAGAACGATAAAATTCTATTTTTAAACCCATTCAGCACCTTTCTTGAACCACTAGACTAGTTTCTGTAAGGAAGGACGAAGAGAGGCAACGAGGTTGGCATATGCAGCAGTCAAATCTGGTTGCAAGCAGACCATCTCCTAATGCAACAGATATAGTTATATGAACAACATTCAACAGAAGTACAAAAAGGTTAGTCACTAGATCAATGTTTATAAAAAAAATTAAGATTAAGAGCAAATAATTCTCTTACCTTGATCCAAAACTCCTCATAGAGGGCACATGATATGACACATCTTTCAAAAAGAACCACAACTCTTTCATGAGTCCCATTTTCGATTTCAAATTCTAAATATTCTTTCCAGTTTTTTAACTGTGCCTTTTCCAGTGGTTTCACGTGAAAATAAGGTCTTTTAATCTGCAATGAAAGTAAACCAATACTAATACTAAAATACTGATCATCATTTACAATATAACCATTAAAGTTTCAAAATCACAGTATTTCATGATTTTAAAAAAATCCTTTCATTTGGCTTTATAAATCAAAGAAATGTATGTTTGATTATTCAGTCATTTTCTAATATTCAATTTTATTCCTTTCAGATATTTAAAAATTGAACAATTATACTATAGTGACAAAGATCAGTGGTTCCCTTAAGACCACCGTGGAGTGGGAAATAATGATTCAGAAGAGGCTACAGGAGCCTTTTGCAGTGATAAAACACCAAAACTCCCTACTATGGGTTCAATTCCAATTCATAACAAAACTACAGGGTTTTGTTATGAATTAGTAGAACTGCCCCTGTGGGTTTCTGAGACTTAAAACTTTAGAGTAGAAAACTTCATCGTCATAGCAGCTGGTGGTTACAAATTGCTGACTGACTCTGAAGTTAGCAGCCCAAATTGGGTGACAGAAATGTTCAAATTGTGATTGTGGGAATGATTACAATATATTTGTATTTGTCATAACGTTTTACTATGTCATTATATAAAATAAAACTCAATGAAATTAAAGAGTAAGTAATTATAATTAAATAGTTAAGTTCAAGCTGGTATCTTCCAATTCAAGAAAGTCTGAATTCGTCGGACAGGGCAAGATATGACAAAATACCCATTTATAAACTATCAAGGGCTCATGCGGGAGGGGGGAGTGGGGAGGGAGGGGAAAAATGAGGACCTAATGTCGGGGGTTTAAATGGAGAGAAAATGTTTTGAGAAACGATGTACAAAAGCGCTTTACACAATTGATGTGTGTATGGATTGGGATAACAGTTGTATGAGCCCCTAATAAAATGTTAAAAAAAAAAAAAAAAAAAAAAGTCTGTATTCAACAAGATTCTAAAATATAACAGAAAATAATGCCTGTGTGATCATGAGGTGTCGATGGGGTCAAGTATATTAGGCATCTATGACCGAGACCAAAAAATTTTATCGATATGAAAGAGCAAGATTGGACTGGAAACCCAAAGGCCATCTGTAGACAATTGGACATGCCTTACAGAAGGGTCACAAGGAAAAGACGAGCCAGTCAGGGTGCAGTTTAGCACCAATGAAACATACAACTTTCCTAGTTCTTTAATGCTTCCTACGCCCCACTATCATGACCTCAATTTTATCTTACAAATCAGACTAGACCAGAACATGCACACTGCTACAGATAAGAGCCCCCAACACAGGGAATCCAGGATAGATAAACCCCTCAAGACCAACAATGAGAATAGATACCAGGATAAGGTGAAGGTGGGGGAGAAAAGGGGAACCAATCACAAGGATCTACGTATAACCCAGGAGGATGAACAACAGAAAAATAGGTGAAGGGTGACAGAGGATGATGTAAGATATGAAAATAATAACCTATAACTTCTCATTGGTTCCTATAACTTCTTATTGGTTCATGAGGAAGGGAGGGAGGAGGAAATGGCTGTTATCAACAACTCAACAAGAAAATGCTTTGAAAATAATGATGGCAAATGTGCTTGACACAATGGATGAATGAATGGATTGTGATAAGAGATGTAAGAGCCCTCAAAAGTATTTAATTTTTAAAAATCAATAATGGTAGCAATAAATAGAATGAACACCTTAAATTTGTACTCAAATATAAAGCAGAAATAGTAATAGCTATTTATTACTATAAAAACTAAAATAAAAACATTCCTATCTGTAAGTTTTTTAAAAATTACAAACACCCCTCCCCTGAGAAGAATATATCTCAAACGATGGCACTGAATCTGCAGCTTCGGGAGAAGGATATATCTGACCAGAGCACACAGGA